CAAGTTGTTGTTGTTGTTGTTGTTAGCCTCAAGGACAACATGCTGGTTATCACTTGTAAGTCGCTTTGGACAAAAGCGTCTGCTAAATACATAAACATAAGCTGCTGTCTCAAATCTAAAGAATAAGCTAGGTTTTGAACTCAAACACGGTCACAAAACACACACCCTTCCTCCCAGGTGTCTTCCCTGGATCCACGTCCACCAGAACCTGTGTTGCCAGAGGAGATAAGAAGCGCTAAACACCAGTCGCCGTTTTCTAGGTCCAAATGTCTTGCTGTCCATGGCTTTAAATGGCGTTTTGCTTTTTGGGACTCTGGTAGTTTGTCCTGAAGTTGAAGAGGCAGCAGCCGGCCGTTTCTCCTTCTGATGTTATTGAGTGGAGAACTTCTCACACCAGTGCTGTTCTGTTGCCAAATACGTGAGGTCGTAATGAATGGAGGACCCAAGGAAGTGCTGCGATTCAGCCAGACCGACACCCGGATGGACCAATGGTTGCTTTTGTTCCAAAACTTGTAATTGGCTGAGGCTTTTAGACGACTGCAAGAACCACTTTATTCATTTGATCATTTTTTTAACTCCACAATATATTCATAGTTAAAAGAGTAAACTCATTTGTTTTCCTGATTTGCTGTTGATGCTTTAAGTACCTCCGTCTGCTCATGTCTCAAAGACCAAGTGTAAATCACCCAAAAGTTGATCCCGACGTCGTTCCAGAGCCAACGCCATATTTGTAGTTTTTCCTCAGTCACAGCTCTAGTGTTAAGCCCGCCTAATAAACAGAGCGCTCTGATTGGCCAGATACAAAACTATTTGGTCGATGGTAGACCTGCTGAGGCTACAATAAAGCGTAGCTAGACCAACCTGCGGAGCAAAATATTTAGCCATTGCTATGGTTGGTCTAGATTTCGGGGCTAGCAGAACTTCACATTTTTAGGATTTTTGATTAAACGACCAGAACCAAATCTAAAAAGACCCAAATCAAGATTTCATTAATTTAATTTAAGTCATTCACTGCCGGCCGTTTCCTGATCGGTAAAGCCCTTCGCTGCCAGCGTTTCTCACCGTTTAAACAGTTTTTTTTAAGAGTGACAGAACGTTGCGCGCTAGGTTGATGTCGACGCCAAAACAACCAAAACAAAGCAGAGACTCACCTCTTACATCAGGAAGAAGCCGCGTGTTTCGAGCGTTATCCGTTCTTTCATAATCCGTTGTCGAACTGTGATCGGCAGACGCTTTTCCGGTTCGCTCCTCACTTTTTTTTACAAGAACGGTCCAAAACAATCTCCTAACACAAAGATGGTCTGCTTCCTGATCATGTGACATGTGACGTATGCGGATGAAGATCAGCTTCAGAGCGCAGGGGCTCGTTCCGATGCCCAAACAGTAAAAAAAAAATGCAAATGACGACGTCAGATGTCCTTGGCAGTGAATGAGTTACATTTTTCATAGTTTTAGGCAACAATGCCTAAACTGAATCAAAAGCCTTGGTGTGTAGACCTGTTTCTACCTGTTCAAAGACCAGGAAAGACCTGCTTTTAAAAAATAGAGTGGGAACAATTCGGTAACCGGATCGAATACCGGGTGTGCAACAATACATCAACTAAATGGTCATCAATCCAAATTACCAAAATAGAACAACTATAAAATGCCCTTTTATATAGAAAATTGCTTTATTTTGAAATTCTGCTGACATGCCGTTTCTGCCCGTTCCTGATGTAACCAAACATTAAGTGACAAGTGGATCTTAAACTCAGTTTATCTGAAATGGTATCATGACTGAATCTGAGATGTTGGAAAACACCAGCTTGCAATCTCGATTTAATCTTGTGTTGTTAAACTTTTGGTTTATACTTTTCATTTAAGGTATGCTTTATTAAAGGGTTAACCCACATCTTTTTTATCTGTGAATTCAATGCCGTTCGGCGAGTCTCAAATACAAATTTGGGCGTCTTACTGTAAAAAAAATACCATTAATGTAAAAAAGAAACTAAATAAAATATGTTCACATCCAGAATCAAACCCAGGTCTTCTGCATGAGAGTCCGACGTCTTACAAGGTGAGCTAAAGCACCAGTGATGTCTGTTGTATCTGTAACATTTATATCCTTGATGACAGCTGAAACAACGTCAAACCAAAGAACGGTTCGGAGTGAAAATGGCTATTTTGTTGCTAATTTGCAGGAAATATATAGAAGAAAGTTCTACAGAAAGTAGCTAAGGGTCCTCAGAAATGTAGCTAGCTTTGTCACTAGGCGTTAGGAACAGCGACAAAGTGGCACTGCCTCTCTCTCTGCTGCTAAAGCTACGGATAGCAAATGCTACGGGCGATGCCTGAGCGTGAACGCGCATGAAGCAGCCTGCTCGACCCGAGCATCTCTCTTTTTCTGTGATTTTACAGAAAAACAGGCAATCACAGTAAAAATGCCAGGGCTCATTCTACAGGACCAGGGCATTGCAGGAGAATGTATGAAGAAGACATTTATTATTTCTATACGTGTTTTGGCTGTCACACTTCCATAATGCCCCTTTAAGCATTTCACTGCCTGATGAGTTTTTTGTTCCATTATAATATGAAATGTCTCAAGAAAAAAATAAAAATGTATTTCTAATTGTAGTTCATGAGCTCAAACAGAGATAAAATATTTAACTGCAAGAATAACTAATCCAATAAGATTTAAACAAAAGGAGACCGTTTTTCCCTTCCAAAACAAATGCTTGGGTCATGGATTTATGAACGAGTGAGTATCTCTGTTCTGCATCAATCACACTGGGTTGCATGTCGTGACTCAAACAAAGCACCAAGGAGAAATGAGATCAGGACTGGACTGAACCGAGCCACAGCAGCGCCGTTTTGCACCTGGCACCTTTAAACACGCACCGCGTCCCCCTCAGCAGAAGTGAAGCGATCAACCACTTCACCAAGATACCATTAGTGCGATAAAGGAACCTCTGTCCTGACAGAATAAACTTGATGAGATAATGCTTCAAACTGCGGCGAACCCATGCGACCCGGTGCCTGCCGGTTTGGCTGAAGACAGCAGGTCCGTTAAGATGATTTCACAAACTTCCAACCCCTTCCTCCTCCCCCTCCCATCTACTCCTCTTCATAACCTTCTGGCTATCGGCTCTACATTCCACATTCTTCTTCTTTAAGAACAACAACAACAACCCTGCCCTGAGGTTCTTCTTTATCCACAGAACAAACCCCAAAAAAAAACTGTCTGCAAACTGGCAGTGAGCAGCAGGAGTCAGACCCAGCCTACTACAGGAGCCCTGGTGCAATCTTTTAAGTCCCTGGTCCAACATGTCAGCAGAACATTTCACCTGAGTGGTCTTCTTACTGCGCCGTGCTGCCCACACATGCCAAAGTAAGCCGCGGTCCCACTCGCTACACACAGAAGCGTGTTGAAAAGTAGAAAAGGCAAAACAAGGGTGAGGCAACCAACTGATCATGAGGCGCACCCACACCGGCCTCAAGTTACCCTCCAGGCCAGAATCTGTTGTCGATATAGTAATCAGTGAGACTCGTCACACTGATCAGTTGACTTTTAATGACCTGAAATCGTTTGCTTGACTTTTCTTTATTGCGTTGCATACTTATTAATCAACAAGGCACTTTGGCAAATTAATATCCAACACACAATCTGCAAAAACAAAGCCCGTTTTCAGGGTTCTGCAAAGACCAGAAGCTTTCTCTTCAGAATGACATCAAGTTAAAATCACTTTAATTATATTTTGAGGTAAGAAAACAGAAAAGCGGAACTCTTCAACTCCACTTCAGCGTGGGTGTGACTGGCCAAAATAACAACTTGTAAGCGTCATATTATTGACTACAACACCCCGTGACTCTGAGAAGGCTTTCAGCACAGAGGTGTGTATTTATACTACAATAAAAACCATTTCCACACGTTTAACAGCTTTTTCATCACTTTTATTAGGAAAATAATCACATATCTATGCTCAGATCCGTCACACCTGTCCTCAACACCATTACTGTTCTTAGATAAACTGGAGTGGGGATGTTTATTTAAAAGGATAAAAAAATGACTGGCACAAAAACGACCAGCCAGTCGAGGCAACGCATGTCTGGCATTCCTGTGTCTTATTATCTCCATGACTCTTGGTTCTACTTAACCAACACTGGTCACCAAGCTGCCTTCACACCTGAGCACACCTTTGGGTTGAAATGAGTTTAGGATTCAAAACGCAACAATGAGCAATCCGGGACAATGTTTGCCAGGGTCAGGTCCTCCCTGGAGCAACACTTGCCCATGCATGAAAGCAGCCCAGCAGAACCCAAACGCATCGATTAAATCCATTTAAGCGGACTGTGTTTAAACCTGGACCTCGCTGCGTCTACATGGTGGGTATACACACAAGGCAATCCTGTTAAATCATTTTAATTGGCCCTACCTAAGACCACGGAGGCTTAACCTACATATAAACAATGCATTTAACACCACGAGGGAAGGCGACTAATAACGTTGCTGCTACTGCGCATAAAAACGTGGGCAAAGATTGATTAAATTGCAATAATCGATTATTAACCGAATTATTTTTAGTTTAATCAAATTTTAACCTGATTAAATTAATTTAAGGGCGTATAAGAGAAAAAAAATGAGCCACTGGAAGCCGATGTTTTGTGGATCCCGTCCGTCGACTCTTTGCCAGCCTGGTAATGATCTGGTGCGCGGAGCGTCCTGAGGGGGCATCTCGACGAAAACCAAAATAAACGCAGCGGTATGTGCAAACGAATCTAATTCACGGTTTAACGGCCAAAACCCACAGCGATCGGAGCAGGATGCGGGATTTCGCAGCTTGCCTGGCAGCCTGGTAGAGCCACGCAAGGCACCCCCTTTTTTGTTGGCACGCCGTGGAGGAAAAAAAAAAGACGCGATTCCTGCAGCAGCTGGGAGAAAGCGCTCCGCTCGATCAGGCGCAAACGCAGCTCCGTTATCAGTTCACAATCCACCTTAAAGAGGAAAAATGGCTTTGAAATACCTTTTTACATGGGTAGGGTCGTTCTCAAGCCTTCTCTACCATCCTCTGGCTCATCTCACAGCCTTCGGGACGCCATGTTGCAAAGCTTATGACGTTAGGCTTCCTCACCCCTGACCCACATTTGAATAGAAACCAGCCCAGAGCCCAGCAGAGGAAGAAAAAACACATCCCACTTTGGGAGGGTTTGGCCACTTTCTTGCTCAACCCCCCCCCCCCCCCCCCCCCCAAAAAAAAAACCTGACAAGTTTACCTGCAAAGGAGGCCGGCCCGGGCATATGGGAGGGTTACTCCAAAAATGTGATTTTACGCGTTTTTCTACAAGCAGCGCCACCTTGGAGCTATGCGGAAAACCCAAAAAAACGCATGGATCTGTTTCCTTATTTGCAAGAAATAAATATATATAATAATAAATGGTTGCAAGAAAATGTGATGAGATCAGACTCATCCCATAAAAATCTATTTTTCTTCTATTAATAACTGTATTTATTTAACTGAAACCCCAAAACAAGACATTTCTCAGCTCATTAGAATTCTTCGCATTTTTGCACGTTTATTAGTGTTTTTTCGCAATTTGCACAGAAAACAACACTGGTCCTGAAAACCAGCTCATGCAGCGAGTTCAGAACAGCGGTTACCATTTCAAACCAAAAGAAGATCCAAATCTTTTTTATTTATATTTTATTTATTTATTTTTGCGTTTTTCATTCAGTTTCTCTCAACAAAAGCTGGTTTTTAATGTGCGTTTAAATCCTGGAACATGCGTGTTTGGTATGGTGTGTTCAAGACCCTCTGGTGAACATGGGAAAGTTTAAAACATGGCACAGTGGAGTTAAGTAGGGAACAGGTAGGGAATGTTGGGGTTCAGGAACTGGGCACCGGATTTGCGGAAGTGTGGCCTTAAGGCCCCTCCTAGAAACCCCCTCCCGTCCCGTCCGGTCCCACCCCCACCCCAATCCAAGAGAAACCTGTTTGTTGTCATCATCCTTTATCTGTCTGTTCTTTGAAAGGTATGTACACGCTTTCATTGTAGAGAAACAACTTCCAGTTGAGGATTTATTTTTGTTAAAGTGCGCAGAGGAAACTTCAGTGGTCTGGTTCACTAGGCAGGTGTTTTGGGGCAATTTGCTCACCTTCCAGGGATGCAAACGTCATAAGTGAGCCAAAGCTCTCTGCTGACACCGCGTGGTTGTCGCTGAAAGTACACCTTCTGCTGTCGAGCTTATTTGATCCTTTTGAATGAGAAGTAGTGCTAGAATCACTTTTATTTGATGAATAAAGAGATTAATAGATATTTTATCAACCATCTCATCTCACCATGTGGCAAAAATGATACAAGCTGAATAAAAACAAAGAATGTTTTCAATAAAAGAAAGTAAGATCTATAAACTGTGCAGAAAATGATGATGATGATTATTGTTGTTGTTGTTGTCATCTTAGACTCCACACCAAGAAAGACGCAATCAAATATTTGTTCATTTTTAATTCATGTGAGGATATGGGGCTGTGCAATAATGTAATAATTTAATAAATGTTTAATCAGGATATTACATGACATCTATGCATACCATAAAACATCAGTAGGCCAGGGATCTGCAGCTGTGACCCACAAAAGCACCACTTTTTAAATCCTCTCTCCAAACATAAATATATGAAACTATCGTTAATAATGATGTTAGTTATGTTGCACCTCTAGTGAACTATCAGGTGTGCACAGAAGACAAGGTGGACTGATCACATTTACATAAAAGCTGAAGCTGTTATGGATGAAAATGAATGGGAGGCGGTGGAAACTTAAACGTCAGCTCGTTTCTGTTCCAAATAAAAATAAAATACGAGTCAACACAATCAACTCAAACTGTTTGTTTTATTAGTCAGAAATTTTGACACTTGCTGCAAAAGTTTAGACCATTCCAAGCCTGGAGGGCCGGTCTCCAGCACATTTCAGTTGAACTCCGTCTCAACACACCTGATTTCAGTCAGCAGGTAATTAACGGGTTTCTGCAGAGCCTGAGCTGCTGCAAAAGTGATTCAACCACTGAATCAAGTGTGTCGGAGCAGAGAAACCACTAAAACGTGCTGGAAAGCGGCCCTGCAGGACCAGGATTGAGAAATAAAACGGCTCTTTTTAATGTCAGTTTAAAATTCAGCGTTGCCCACGTTGCCCGTGTCACTTTATTCACATAGAGCCCTTCAGATAAATAAATAGCTGCAGTTTCTGTGATGAATCACTTCCGGTGTGTTCAAAAAGATTGTTTCAGTAATCAACGACTGCAGGACTAACCTGGAACTGGAACCTTGGAGGGTTCAAGCTGAAGCAACCTGCAGAGAAAAAGAGGCAAATTAAAAATAAAAATCTTAGTTCAACAAAGCCAACATGACACAAGAGAAGCTCGTGTTATTGGAAACATTTAAAAAATACGTCATTTATTTATGCTTAAATGAAGGTGGCTCTTTAACTTTCACCAGAAATGATGAAATTAATGTTAAAATTAAATGATGTTGTTGAAGTATAAAGATACTCGTTTTTTTTTAAGTTTTCCTAATGGCGGCAACGTTTGCACAGACTGGTCCCAGTAGACACTGAAGCTTCGTGTTCTTTAAAAAAAAACATCTTTCAATCATTTTCAAGCAATAATTTGTTGAAAATTCTTACATTTTTAACCAGAATGTGTTTAACCCCTCAGCCTGTATGTCAGCTGCGTGAGCAAAATGGGAAAAATAATATTTAACAACAATGTGTAGGTGTTTAGAGTTAAATATTTATATACTTTTTATTTTAATATTTTCTGTTAAAATATTTCCAATATTATTATTGTAGCTTGGCCTACATCGAAATAAAGTTCTCAGCACCTTAAATTAACGAAACAACATTTATAGAGGAAAAGAAAATCTTCAGCCAATACATTTTACTGTTTTCTACCTTTAATCTTCACTTTGGAGTTTTTCTGAACAGGCAGGTGCAATTTTCTTCTTCAGAGTCGTGACGTTGCTCATTTTTATTTTATTTTATGTTTTTGCAAAACCTTTAAAACATGACGTCACAATGGCTCACAGCAACAATGGTGAAAATGAAGCATTTTGATATTTTTTGTTGTCGCAGCTCTCGATAGAGGAGCGACGTGATGAAGGGTGTGAGCAGCATCCCTAGTCAGACCTCCACCTGTCGCAGCCTCTCACCTGTCCCTGCAGCAGGGTCTCCACACCTTGGAGAAGAGCGCGACTCTGAGCGCTCTGCAGCCTCTCAGGTACAAAACAGGAGTCAGGGCAGCATTGACTCTGGGCAAAATGCGCAGCGGATCGGTGCCTTCGTTCTTAAAGGAGTAGCAGGTGGAGCCAAGGAAGTTACAGGCGACGATGTGACAGAACAAGGGGATCCAGGTGCCCAAGAAAAACGCAACCACCACCAGGATGAGGTTCACCGAGGAGCGCTTGCTGTCCCTCTCCTCGGAGGACGGATGTCTGCCCAGCTGGAAGGTGGCGATGATGAACAGCCTGACATTCAGTCCGATCATGATAATAATTATAAAAATGTTCCCAATTAAAGTTCCGATGCTGGTGACCGACCTAGCTATGCCTAACGGAACCAGGTTCTGCACCCCCACAATGAAGAACGCATAGAACCAGTAGGCGAAGATGACCACCAGTGTTCGGTTGCGGGTCATGCGGCGGGAATAGCTGAAGGGTGAGACGATGGCATGGTACCTGTCTGCCTGCGCGGCCAGGATGGCCATAAAGGACAGGCCCAGAAACGTGGGTGCGATGTAAAAGGTTCTGGTGGGGGAGTTGTAGTGGTCACTCACGTCCAAAACACCCACATAGTAGTAGGACACGCCCGTGCAGACGTCGCTGACGCACGTGCTCAGCATGTACATGAACCGGTTCTCGTCGCGCAGAGTCTTGTCCAGCAGAATGGAAAGCAGCACAGACAGGTTGAGCAAAATGATGGCTGCAGCCAGGAAAACGTTAAAGAGAAACATCAACACATTTCCAAAGCTAGTCAGGGGCAACACAGGAGATAACCCCAGGCTGGCGTTTGTCATAGATGCGGAGGAAAGGTGCGTCAGGTCCGCATCTCACAGAAGAGGGCAGTGCGCAGAGAGGGTCTGACTTTCATCAGATTTATATAGGAAGGACAACCTGAGAGACTTTAGTCCTCCGGGACTTAAAGCCCCAGTGTGTAATATTTTTATCTGTTTACTATCAAGTTGTGTATCCAAGTCACAAAATTGACCTTTTTCATTGAGATGTCTTACCAACATCTATTCTAAATATTCCTCTCGGCCTAAAATTTAACATGTTTAAATACACAAACTGTGGTCTACATGCATGGTCATGTGCCATCCTGAAATACAGCAGCTATTTAGGGACATACTTGCTGGCGTTTGCACCAGGTGTCATGGTCTTTCCTCATGTGTCTCCTCATGCTCTCCATCCCTCTCTAGTTTCCCATTTTGTGTCTCACGAGCGCCCTCATGTGTCTTTTGTCCTCGTCTCATTTTTGTGTCTTCTCTTGTAGCTCCAGCCTTTTTGTCCCCAGCTCCCTCCTGGTTCTCTTCACGTCTCTTAGTCTCCCCATCTCAGTTTATATAGGTCTTTTATTTCAGTGTGTGTGTGTGTGTGTGTGTGTGTGTGTGTGTGTGTGTGTGTGTGTGTGTGTGTGTGTGTGTGTGTATACATGTTTTTTGAAGACCTCTACAGTTTTGGAGAGCCAGAGTTTTGAAGGCAGACGTTCCAAAGTCTGCGGGCAATAGACTGAAAGGCCCCGTCCCCTTTGCTTTTTAGTCTGGTTTGAGGAACAGCCAGGAGGTTTTGAGATGTGGATCGAAGGTTCCGTGAAGTGGTGTGTGGGGATGTAAGGATTTAATTTATGTTTATGTGTTTAGCAGACGCTTTTGTCCAAAGCGACTTACAAGTGATAATCGGCATGTTGCCCTTGAGGCTAACAACAACAACAATAACAACAACAACTTGACATCAATCATGGAGAGGAGGGAACAAGGAGTGGACAGTAGAGAGGGGGGGCGGGTGCAGGGAGGGTGCTAGTTTAGAAGATGCTCTCTGAAGAGCAGGCTCTTCAGGAGTTTCTTGAAAATTGAAAAGGAAGCTCCTGTTCTGGTAGTGCTTGGAAGGTCATTCCACATTTGTGGAACGATGCATGAGAAGAGTCTGGATTGTCCTGAGCGTGGTGTAGGCACTGCTAGCCGACTATTCCTGTGATGACCGGAGCGGCCGGGCCGAGACGTAAGCCTTTGCAAGAGGATTCAGGTAGATGGGAGCCGTACCATCTCGGACTTTGTATGCTAGTGTTAGCAATTTGAATTTGATGCGTGCTGCTAGTGGTAGCCAGTGGAGCTCAATGAACAGAGGGGTGACGTGTGCTCTTTTTGGCTGGTTGAAGACCAGACGTGCCGCTGCGTTCTGGACCATTTGAAGAGGTCTCACAGTACAGCCTGGAAGACCAGTTAGAAGGGCGTTGCAGTAATGGAGGCGGAAGATGACAGTAGATTGCACCAGGAGCTGGGTGGCATGTTGTGTTAGGTATGGTCTGATCTTTCGTATGTTATACAGCGCAAAGCGGCATGAATGAGCAACAGAGGCAACATGATCTTTAAAGGTCAGGTGTTCATCAATCACAACACCCAGATTTCGAACTGCCTTTGAAGGAGCCAGAGATTGGAAGTCATTTTGGATTGAGATGGTTTTGCTGGGATGACAATGTAATAATTTACATCTATTTAATGAGCCATAAGACATGAGATTCCATAGAATCTATGAAATCGATCTTATGGATCTTTGGGTACTTTTAACCAGAAGATTGGAACTTTTTATTGCAGGGATTATGTAACACTTCGTATTGACTGAGAGACAAGAGAAGAGAGAGTCACCTTTAAAACGTTTAAGAAGATTTATTTCTAAACAATTTTAAACGAGACTAACTCTAAACTCTAAGTGATGAATGGATCTGGTGTGAATGAGACGTGAGATGGATGGTGTGTGTGTGAGTGATGTCATCAGAACTCTCGTATCCGGAGAAGCAAGTCTGAGTGAGGAAGTGATGTTTTGCTCTTAAGTTATGATCGGAGTTTCATAAACACATGAGACGCCATTTTGTCGCTCCACAGCTTCAGGATGAGACCTCCGTACAGATCCAGAATGCCAGGTCCTCGGTCCCCTTTCGGTACCGGAGTCGATGAAACAGCGTCAGCAGTACGACAGACTAGTCTTTGGATTGTCTCCAGGTAAAAAGCGACAGTTGGTTGACAGCGTCAGATGGACCCTGAGGGTCAGTGAGTTCAGCTTTTATTCTGAAAGGAACCGTTGCTTGGTTGGTAAAGTGCAACAGATTTTATCCAGCTTGTTGTTCTTTGCTTGAAAACGAAGTCCGGGTGGCCGGCCCGATACTTCTCTTAGCATGCGGTGAACTGAACTAAGATGGCGTGGGACTGGTTTTATTAATCTGGATGTTTTGATTTACGGTCGAATCAAAGTTGGCAGATTTATAAACACCAGAGAGACTATGCCACGCTTCAGAAAGGAAGGTTCTGATTGGATGAGTAAAAATATGTCATGTGTTTACATTACGTGTGATCAGGGTGTCTAGTGCAGCTAGATTAAAGTCTTATTACTTATTAAAACTTACTAATCATAACATTGTCATTTTACAGATTGGTCCACATTATTATTGACTAACACTTTGTTTGATTCTCTTGGGCTGGAAAGGAAGCAGTTTAGAAGCAAATGCATGACCTTGGGGCAGTTTCATGCAGATTAGTTCTGCTGAGGAGAGGGGGGGGGGTGACTTTTAGGTGGAAAACAGTCATTTCATTCCGTTTCAGGGATAAAAGCTCAGATAGATAGCTTGGAGCCTGGTTGTTAAGAGCTCTATAGGTCGGCACTAATACCTTAAACTCTACCGGGAGCCAGTGGAGGGACTGTAAAACTGGAGTGATGTGAGTTCGTCTGCTGCATTTTGGATGGCTTGAAGGCGTGAGAGGGGGGTTTTGCTGAGACCAGTAAAAAGAGTGTTACAGTAGTCTAAGTGTGATGACACAAAGGCATGGATGATTATTTCCAGATCTGCAGTAGAAACCAGTTTACGAACTTTTGAAATGTTTCACAGGTGAAAGAAACAAGAGCGGGAGATGGTTTTGACGTGTGAGTCTAAACTTAAAGCTGGATCAAAAATAACTCGCAGGTTTCTAATGTTGGACTTGGCTGATGGGCAAAAAGAGGCAATTTCTTGCTCGATTTTTGGCTGAAGTTCCGGGGGTGCAGCGATCAGGGTCTCTGTCTTGTTGGTGTTGAGAACAAGAAAGTTGCTGGACAGCCAGTTACTGATCTGGATCAGGCAGAGTACAAGGGTGGCCAGCCTGTCCAACTGGTGTGGCATGAAGGACGTATTGACCCTTTGCACCGTCGTCACCTAATCACGTGGGTCCACCATGCTGGACGGCAAAAGATTGTAAACAGCGAGCGACACGATTACTACACAAAGGGAAAAGTAGAGCCTGAAATTGTTTTTGCGATCAAAACAAAATCAAAACTCCTCCATCATTCCTTCATCTAGTTCATGCCCAGTTCAGTTATCAGAAGAAGTAGCGCATCTAGCGGGGCTCATGGAGAGCGGTATGCTAACTAGCTTACCAACGTTAGCTTACGTTCTCTCTGCAGCTGTTCACCGATGTAAACATGTTGCTGACTTTGCCTAAGTTCACCCCTCTGGATTTATAACTTTATGTTGTAAACAGCGTTTCACTTTACACCAAAGCTGATTGTTAAAAAGTCCGGATCCCTACCAGCTTCTGTTGCTGGTGGTGCTACCGGGTCCAGCTGCTGCTCTCACACCGGAATGAGAAGATCTCTGAACGCCGACGCTCATATTCAATCTTTTTTTATTTTCATTTATTGACATTAAAATAAAAATACAGAACTAAATTGCTGCAAGCCAAAATGAAAAAGGGGACAGAAAGAAGAAAAACTTATGTTGTCTGCCCCTTTTAGCTAAAATAACATGAATACAAATGAAACAATCATGATTCTTAAAGAAACTGAACAATATAGTTCCCGGACTTGTTGGCCGACACAGTCTCAACCCAGGAATTTGACAAAAAGAAAAAACAATTTACACAGAAAGAAGCATTAAGTTATAGATCTATATACATACATATATACACGTATGAATACATACTAGTTTTTTTTCTTTCATCCCCCCAACCCCCTCCCCTCACACATTTATGTAACGGATCTATATAAGTTAATCATTTCATTTCTTATCTCTTTTTTGAAAGTCAATATTGTTTTTGCATTCTTGATTTCAGTATTTAATTTATTCCACATTTTAACTCCATATATGGACACACAAGGTTCCTCTATGAGTATCTGATGTCTAGGTATGTTAAATAATTCACGTCCTTTTAAAGCATATTTGCTATGTCTTTTTGTAAATCTTTTGATTAATCCTGCAGGTACGTTCCTTTTGTTTGCATTATACATACATTTTAAAACATTGTAGTCCACCAGATCGTAGAATTTTAGTGTTTTTAATTTAATAAATAATGGATTGGACGGATCTCTGTAGTTGCTCCTTGTGATTATTCTTATTGCTTTTTTCTGTCAGATGTAAATGGAATGTGTGTAAGTTTTATATGTTGTTCCCCAGATTTCAATGCAGTAGTTCAGGTACGGTATAATCAGTGAGTTATATAACAAATATAGTGAATTATTATCAAGTAACCCTTTAGCTCTATGTAACAGTGCAACAGTTTTAGATATTTTAGTTTTGACGCTGTTTATATGCAGCTTCCAAGACATTTTTTCATCAATGACGACTCTCAGATACTTGACTTGTTTAACTCTTTTCACATTAATCTCATCTATATTTAATAAAATTTCATCATTTGAATTTGTATTACTAAATATCATAAAACATGATTTATCACTGTTTAATGATAGTTTGTTCCCATCAAAACATAGTTTAATTTTTTTTCATCTCTGTTTGCATCACTTCTATCATCTGCTCAACATTATCTCCTGAATAGTAAAAAGTTGTATCATCTGCAGATAAGGTGCATTTTAATATATTGGATGCCTCAACAATGTCATTTATATAAATGATAAATAGATTAGAGCCCAATACCGACCCTTGTGGTACACCACAAGTAATGTTATTTATGTGTGATTTTGTGTTGTTTATTTGAACATACTGCTGCCTATCGGTAAGATAACATTTTAGGGCCATCCCTGTGATGCCATATTTACTAAGTTTTTTAATAAGAATTTAATGATCCGCTGTATCGAATGCTTTTTTTAATCAGTAAAGATACATATAAATTAATAACGTCATTTTAACACACGCAATCATACATCCGAGCTTTAATATTGTTAATAACTGTCTCGCTTTACACTACAGTGGATGGAGCGCAGCCTCCGTGGTGAAACACCCATCCATCAGGATTATCAACCTGCCCCCCTCACAGAGCACTGGCTGGGCTATTTCCATCCCTTTTACATGTTGATGATTTTAAGTCATGGACAACTAAAGAAAACGGTGACTGGTGTTTAGCGCTCCCTTTTTTCCTCCGGTATCTCGGGTTTCTGGTTCCGGCAGAATTGTCTCGGGGAAAATACCGAGGGGAGGGGTGAATGTTTCGTGACCGTGTTTCATTCAGTAACAGCTTGAAGTTGTAATAATTGGTAACATGTTTTAAAAGTCTTTTGTATAAAATCCTTCTCACATAAAGTAATTCCAGCAGTTTTATTCATGACATTTCCTATACCACCCGTCACTTTAAAAAACAAGCTGTTGTGCACGCCCACCCATCCCCCCCATACTCAGGCTGCTCTGAGCTGAGAAGATCTGATGTCCAGGAGGGTCTTGGTGTAGAGCTGCTGCTCCTCCTCCACATGAGGGGTGTTTCTGTTCTAATTTCCATGTTTGTGACATCACAAACGGGGACTTTTTGAAAAAAGCTTGTTTAAGGCACATAATTCCCAAAACCAAACCCTCACAGCAAGAGAGACCTACACGGCAGCACAAAATGATGCAGAAGGTGAGTTTTGCACATCTGTCCTTTAATGCAGTCTGCTATCTTAAATCTGTTGTAGTTTTAAAAAGGAGTAACAAAAGAACAACAGGTAAGTTTTAAGTTATGTTCAGTAATCATGGCTCATGCTTGCTTGATATAATAAAGCATAAAAAGACCAAAATGAAAACTCAAGTAAATGAAATCTAATCTTGTGAAGTAAAACCTTGCTGGGTTTCCCCACCTGTTGATTATTTTATGTTCCTGTAAACATCACTTGTTTATGCTGAAACCTTCTCGCCTCTCGGGAGCGTTGACTGGATCCAGAACCTCATAAATAATCAGAGCTCTGAGCTTTCTGGTGGAGCTCCAGGATGCCCCTCAACTCCACCATCTCTCTGTCGGTGGACTTCAGCTCTCCGGGAGACTTCCTCATCTTCATCTTTCACATCCTCTTCGCCACAAGCGCGGAGCTGGTCGCAGGATCGGTGCTCATCGGGATCTCCGCCACCCGAACCCTGCGAGTTCAGAACCGTTTCCTCTTCATGCTCAACACCAGCATCAGCGACACTCTGACCGGCGTCTCGGTCTTCTACCTCGGTCTGTTCGATGTCCAAGAGGGCTACCCGTCCAGGAACGGGACGTTCTACATTCTGCCATCCTTCCTTGGTGTTAATGTCTTGACTTTCCTCTTTGCTCAGTTTGATCGGTACTTCGCTGTTTGCCACCCTTTCTTCTACAATCGCTTCATCACGAGGCCTGTCGTCGTTTCCACCTGTGCGTTCTGCTGGGTCTACACCTACGTCATCCTCACCGTGCAGAACATGGTGCCCATCTCGAAGGCAGCGCAGATCAACGCGTTCGGTGTGATGACTCTGCAGATCATAGTTCTCATCAAAATCATCATGACAGTGAAGCTTTACGTCATAGCGCGGAGCCACCTGGTCAGAGAGGCGCCCGGCGGCGCCGACAGGGACAACAAGGAGTCTCTGCGCATCATCGTGTTTGTGGTCATCTGTTTCTTGGCTTTGTGGTGTCCTTCTTTTGTTAATATCATAGTGAAACAGCTGACTGGGAAAGGGTTGAAGTTCAGGAATGAAGCGACCAACTTGTTCGCCACCATGGCGCGCCTGAACGCGTTGGTCACCCCGGCTGTGTACATCTGGGGCAGCCCGGCGCTGCGGAGGGCCGTGTGGAGGGTGGTGTGGAAGAGGGTGTGCCCAAAGCGAAGGCCCAGGTAACGGTCAGGGTGATCAGATAAACCAAGTGTTCCTTTTACGCGTCTGAGGAGATCACTAACACACGTCCTCTTTTACAGGAGCGTCTCTAACTGTGATGGCGTGGCTAAGAGAAAGTTTCCCCAATCGAAAACATCATGAACTTCAAGTTTTCATCCCATTCAGCAATGCTTAAATAATGAGATGTGTGTTTTCACACATTTTAATGGCTGAAGGATGAAACAAAACGCGAATGAAATTGGGAAAGTATTAAATGTGTTTGGAGTTTGATCTGAAAAATTCGTCAAAAGGTGTCATAAAGTCATAAATATTCATATCAGTCCTGTTTAAAACATTTCTTTTAAGCACGAATGTCTGTTGTGTCCTTGGCCAATTCAAAATAAGAGTTTTTGGTGTGTTTTTGTATTTTCAGTTGAATTTATTGAAAAGATCCGTTTGTGTTCTGCTTGTTGAGAAAAAAACATCGTTTGAAGATTGAAGTTTACAGCGTTTAATCCTTATTAACTTCCTCACAGCAGGTTTTAAATGATATTTTCTGATTTAAAAGACATTACTGAATCTTTAGCGGGACGGAGTTTTGGTCATGTATGCATTTCTGGGTTTCAATGCGCACACTTTCTTCCGCTTATTCACATATTTGGGAAAAGATGCATAAAACAGAGTGTAATTTTAAAACCGTTCATGTGTTTTCAAATGAACTGGAAGTGTGTTAAACCTGAAAGTGGCATCAAAGCCGACAATGCTTCATTTTCCACACCTTGTTGTTTTTTCACCAAGGCGTTTGACAAACTAAAAGGTTTGGGTGACTTCTCTTTAAAAGTGGCCAGCTGTTTTAGAGAGAATGGAAACGTCACTGCTGAATTTGATTAATCAGGTAAAATGCATTTCAACAAGAAAGTTAAGAAAATTCGTATACCTTAAAGATCGTGGTTTAATTATCTCTAATTTGCACTTTTATAATTGGTAAGCAGGTCAATTTCACTTCCAGCTTAAATAGATACACAATCCTTCTACGTGAACTCGTTGCATCAGCACTACGTTTGAAAGCTCTGATTGTTGTGTGGATCTAAAGGGCCTCAAACCTAATCCAGATTAAAAATAAAATTAAACCTCCCCAATTGAACAAAACTCGAGGAAGAAACCTCCGAATTCAGCTTCACGGACTTTGGGGTTCAGCACCATGGACAGCTCCCCGTTTTTCCTCAAAAGACTCAGTAAGAAATTAATCAACACATATTTGAAGCACACATTTATTTCAAAAGCCAATTAAAGAAGCACAATCCAACACGAAGGTATCAAAATATAGTCACATCTACAGGAATTTAAATGTTTACAATTAAATTCATTTATTTTTTCAACTTTAGGTTGGCGCTTTAGCATTAATCTCAGTGATTGCTGAGTTAGAATCTTGACCAGTTTTATATTTGACATCACTCTGTAGCCCTCTGCTGGCCAGATGCTGCACTTAACAGTTTTGTGGAGCAGGAAGGTGCTCTTCAGGGGAGCTCTTAACCACATTTACGACTGTTAGCTGTTGTACTAGCAGTTAGCAGTTTCAGGTAACCGATAATCAATAAAAAGCACAAGAATAACAAAAAGAAGTTTGCTTTTTTGCTGGCACCATGGCGGAGCCTGGAAGTATGATGTCTTTGGAGGTGAAGCAAAGTGCTAAAACCAGAGTGAACATCGGCATGGCCTACTAGTTTGAGGAAGCAGCTACAAAAATCACAGACCGACGATGACCTGGCTTTGTTGCTACTGGACTTTTAAGTAATAATATTTTTGTGTTGGAGCAGCTGGACAATCTTATTTTTGTTTTCTACTCTGCACTAAACTTGCATTTAACAGATTTTTTTTTTCATTTCAGCAACATCATTTAAAACGTTGCAAATCTGGATCATGGAAATAACACAATCACTTCCAATGTAAAGCCTTTTTTATTTGTGAAAAAATTAACGCATTTCTTCAAGATTGCATAAAAATGTCATTGAACGTGCAATGAACAAATCTGAAAAACAAATGAGCTGCCTCTTAACAACGTTTTAACATATGCATATATTGAAGAGTCCCCTCCCACGTGGGCCCACCTTCTAATCCTGAACGAAGCGGAAGAAAAGCCTTTAAAACGCCGATCCTGTGTTATTCAGACACGCTTCACGCTTCACACGCACCCACCATGGCCGCCACCAACATGTCCCTCGTTCCTCTGTGCGTTGACTTCAGCTCTCCAGAAGATTACTTCTTGTTTATTTTCCACGTCCTGGCCGGGCTTGGCACCGTGCTCCTGGCCGGCTCCGTGGTTTGCGGCATCAGCCACACGCGCGCGCTCCGCAGACAGCACCGCTTCATATTCATGCTGAACACCAGCATCTCGGACACGTGCACGGGCTGCGGCAGTTTCTACCAGTTCCTCTTTGACGTGAGGGAGGATTTCCCGTCTAAAAACGGCACTTATTACATCATACCCTCTTTTCTCGGAGTTAACATCATGACGTTTCTGTTTGCGCAGTTTGACCGATATTTTGCCATTTGCCACCCATTCTTTTACGCTCGTTTCATCTCCACCAAGGTGGTTGTTTGCGTGAACGTCTACAGCTGGCTGCACGTGTTCAGCCAGCTGTTCATCCAGCACATGGTGCCTCTGTCCAAAGCCGTGGACATCGCTGTTTTCAGCAGAATCAGCCTGTCTTTCATCATTTTTATTAAAATGTCCATGACGGTGAAGCTGCTGGTCGTGGCGCGGTACCAGCTGATGCGGGAGCCGCCGGGCCCCGAGAGGGACAGCAAGAGAGAGTCCCTGCTGATCATCATAGTGGTGGTCGTGGCTTTCTTGTTCTTCTGGGGCCCGAACATCGTCTACATCATCGTGTCTTCTCTGACAGGAAAACAGATGCGTGTAAAGAACGACGCGTCTGATTTGACTAAAATCTTGTCTCGGATGAACGCGCTGTGCACCCCGACCCTGTACCTGTGGGCGAGCCCTTCCCTCAGAGCATCCGTGTGGAAAACCGTGTGGAGCAAAATCTGCTGCTGCAGAACAAACAGAGGGTTGGTTTGGGGAGAACAGACGAAAAACTAAAGCTGCCATGAGGTTTAGATGACTGAAAGCCCTAATAGTGCTCTTTCTTTAGGTCTACTAAGGTCGACAGTTCACACTGAGGTTCCCACAGGTTTGTATTTTCTCATTTGAAATGTCTCTTTTCTCTCAAAACTCACAAAAGGTCTCTCTCCTGAATAAAAAGGTTTTTTATGGATTCAATTAAAAACTTCTGGAAAAATATTTTATTCCTATACAATTAGGCCTATAGATACAATAAAGCTCCCCAAATAGTTCATAGATGTGTTATTAATTCATTCTTAACGCTTCACAAATACTTAATAAGTGTTTATTCATAATAAAAAGAGAGAACAGCTTCAGTGCACTATTTTAAAACGCGTCAATGGTCTCTTTCTTGCCCTTAATTAATGCATCATAAACATGAAGTAATATGATTAAAGCGTTACAAGTTAATTAACCCTTTGATGCATAATGGTCACTACAGTGGACAGGAACTCAAAATAGTTATTTATTTGTTTTTGCTATTAAGCACAGCTGTTGAAGACTTTATTGCATTTGAGCCCCTCCATTTGGACTTCAATAAGCCAAGCCAACATATTTCATGCTCAGAATGCACGCTGTCCACTGAGGTGGACGTGTAATAAATTATTTGTAAATTATAAAATTTTACAAAAAATATTTGTTGAAATTTGTTTAATTCAAATCTAAAGATGAATGAAAAAATTGTTAAAAAAATCTTGGTTGAAGATTTCATAATTCATGCATCAAAGGGTTAATAACATGTAGTTATATTATTAATTTAATTCTAACAAGTAATTAATATTAAATAAAGTTTATTAAGCATTAATTAAGGACAACAAAAGAAAAAAATGCACCTGTTTCTTGCAAAATGGTGAGCCGAATCTGTTCTCCTTTTCTCACTTTTAATTAATGCATAATAAACACTTGATTTCTAAAGTATTAAAAGATAATTAATTACAATTACAGCTTTTACTATGGGGAGACGTATTGTAAAGTGGTACCAAATGGTTAAAAATATTCATTTATAGTTCATGTTTCACTTTGTTTTTGCCTTTTTTTCTGCAGGACTGGATTATCGATGGAGTGAATTAATAAAATTAACTACCTGCATCTTTACTGATTCATCACAAGGACAGAGCTGAAAAAGGGCGCAGTATATGAACTGTGAGACTTTCATATCTCCTTCTAAGACTGAAACTCAGCAACTTCTGTAGTATTTTAGCGAATGCCAATTGTGAAATAACAAATTAAAACAGACATATATTTGAAAATAATCTCTGTTGTCATTGTAAGCCTCTAGTGGGTCATTCTTTTGTGACTGCTATCAGAGAAGTTTATTTGTTCTTATCAGTGCATTTTTCTGACCTCACAGTTTCTTATTAAAATTCCTTTTTTCTTTCTCAGAGTTAATTCCTATCTGAAGGCCCAGAGAGAAAGAAGATCCTTTCAGGACTTTGTTCATTTATTCTAACCTTTTCCAGCTTTTTTTAAACGTTTGGATGAAAATGATACAACAGAATAAAAACATGAGAGAAGTAGTTTTGTTTTTGAAAGTTTGCGTTATTCTATTATAATACATGCAATATGTCATCAAGTTGTTAGTCATACATAATTTTAGCATTTAATCAAATATTAATGCTCTAATAATGTCAAACGTTTTCAAACCTGGACACAACAGCACAAGGGACTAATGAACAATTGGCATTATAAGCAAATCTGCAAAAAATCCTCATTATCAATTTGTTTTTAAACTTAGTAGTAATTTTTATGATTTACTTGCTAAAACTATTTTTTAATAATAAAACATATGACAAAAACTTCATCTGAGTATTTTATGGAGGCAGTAGAGACCCACATGGCAACACAAAAGGATGCAAAAGGTGAGTTTTACACATTAGCTCCTTTTAACAATGAAACTGGCAGCATCTGCACCTTTCTTCTCTCCACATATCAAGTGTGAAATATAGTTTCAGAGGCCTACAGGGAATGCAGGTGAATAAATTGTGGCATGAAGCAATTTTCTTATCAAAATTCCTTATTTAAGATTTATCAAAGTTCAGGATGGCATCAATGTTCAGCACCATGGACAGCATCATATTCCACAGAGTAAAGGACTCCGCAATTCACTTATGGCACTTTTTCTAAGAAGTTTGTTACCTACCTATGACATTGACATGACATTCTGAAATGTACTTAAGGCTGTCTTTTACAAAATAAATATTTCAGAGTTCAAGATTCAATTGTGGGTTTTTATTTTTTAGTATTTTTCAAATTTAAAGTTTTAATTCAACTGGAGTAAGAATTGTATGAATATTCAACAAAAAATATGTGTGTTTGGTGAATTTAGGAAAACATTAAATTGAAAGAATAATTTTATGTATGTTCAACAAGAATTTCTGCATTTAGTGAATGCAGAAATGCGTGGCATTCAAACCAGAATTTCTTTGTTAGCCTTCAGCCATTACCCTAATTGGGTCAATGAGAAAATCCAAGTTGGCAGAACTCCTTTCATAACTTAAAAATCCAAGTTAAATCAACAACAGTGGGCAAAAGTTGAGAATACTCAAAAATCTCTTGCATCATGTTGCCTTGAAATTTTAAGTTTTCTCGACTTTTTTTTAACAGTGCTTTGATTGACATTTGGCAGCTCGTTCTTTCTCTGTGGTTTTCTTTTTTGTGACACCTTGTGATCAAATTGTAAAGATTTTTAAAAACTACACAAGTTACAATAGCATATCAAATCTTCTTAAATCAGCACTTTCCAAACTTTAGTAGCTCGAGGACGAAGCATCAAATTACAACAAAGCTCTTTCCTGACACAAACAAGCTGAAAAGAGCGCCTCTCTAGTGACCTCCAAGCACTTATAAAACAACAAATCCTCCTTTGGTGTTATTAGAGATGTTCCCGTCCAACGTGACCACCTGTGGAGCTGCAGGAGTGCCTCTCTCTGTGGACTTCTGCAGCCCCGAGGACTATTTCATCTTTATCTTCCAGATTCTATTTGCCACCGCCACGGTTCTGGTAGCTGGGACAGTAGTGATCAGCATCTCGGCCACCAGAGCGCTCCGCATTCAGAACAGGTTTATTTTCATGCTGAACACGAGCATCTGTGACACAATGATTGGCTTTTCAGTGTATTATCTGGGTCTGTTTGACGTTCAGGAGGCATATCCGTCCAGAAACGGAACCTACTATGTGCTGCTGGACCTTTTAGGGGTCAACATCTTGACCTTTTTGTTTGCTCAGCTTGACAGGTACGTTGCGGTGTGCTACCCGTTCATCTACAGCCGTTTCATAACAAGACCCTTGGTGATTGGCATCAACGTCTTCTGTTGGGTTCACGTTTATTCTCATGTGATCGCCAGATGTCTGTTACCGATCTCTAAATCCAAGCAGCTGTACGCAATCGGCATCATCCTCTTTCAGCTTATCGTACTCACAAAGGTAGTGATGACTATCAAGCTGTATGTGATTGCAAGGAATCAGCTTGAGAGGGACCCTCCTGGTCCCGAGAGAGAAAACAAGAAAGAATCTCTGAAAATAATCATCTTTGTTGTCGTAAGCTTCCTGGTGCTGTGGGGTCCTTCTTTTGTGAATATCGTTGCCAGATTTGCAGGAGGAGGGCTGGTTTTTAGAAATGAGGCCACTAACATCTTTGCTATCTTGGCCCGTTTTAACGCTGTGTGCACCCCGTCTGTGTACATCTGGGGGAGTCCGGCTCTGAGGGCGGCCTCGATGAGGACGGTGTGGGGGAAGGTGTGTCCCACTCGCAGGTGCAAGAGGAGGTGAGGAAAGCGGGGGGAAAAAAGGCTTTACAGAACATTTTTTATCATTAATACCTTCTTCTGACCTGATTGGTGCTTCTTGTTTTCCCTCAGAGTTGGTTCCCGTCCGAAGACGCTGAGATTAAGAGGATCTTCTTAGGACTTAGTTATTAAAAATTAAAACACACCACTATGAAGGTTCCAACGAGGGATTTTGGATTTTAAAAATCACAAAATAAATTTACCACTAAGATTTGTCTTGATGTTTCACATTTATTTCTTTTTTTATTGTTTTGTGTGTGTGTGTGTGTGTGTGTGTGTGTGTGTGTGTGTGTGTGTGTGTGTGTGTGTGTGTGTGTGTGTGTGTGCGTGCGTGCGTGCGTGTGTGTGTGTGTGTGTGTGTGTGTGTGTGTGTGTGTGTGTGTGTGTGTGCGTGCGTGTGTGTGTGTGTGCGCGTGTGTGTGTTATCTGAGTTGCTGATGATGACAAATGAACTGTTGTAACTATGTGATGTATAAATTAAACTTTAACTACTTAGTAAAGAGAAATTAAGACAAAAATACAAATAATAGCAACAGAATCTAGATTGTTGTTGACATATTTCAGAAGACAACATTTTGTAAATCTGTATGAATTTCCTTTGCTTAATCGTCACAAAATTACAGGACAAGTATACAAAATTCAAACTTGGTGACGCGTGTTTGTTTTAAATGTAAAAACTTTCTGATCATGCTGATGCTGACTGACTCATGAAACCAATTAACATTGAATGTTTGTACATTTTTGGCATCTCGGCAGAACGAGCAGACTTTATTACTTTTTTTCATGTAGCCGTGCAAAAATGAATGATTTAATAAATGAAACTTCTGTTCTCATAAGTGCCCACGTTGCAGGGCTGTGACTGCAAATGACTTAAATGGACAATTAGAATTATGTTAGCGCCTATGGGTATATATTTGACTTTTGAGGGGTGAGACCAAAAGCCCGATGGTCCAATAGTTGATTTTGGTCTCAAATATGTTATTGGGGGAGGTTTAAAGAAAAATGTGGAAGAATCACAAGCCTACTGCGTGAGCCTTTAAGAGCAACTGCAGCCCATATTTTCCATGTTAGTTTTAATTTCCATTTTATTTTGTCTTTAGTTTGTTTTCCAGCTTGAATTTCCAGTTTCCAACAGCCTGTGTGTTTCAATAACTCAGCTCCTCAAATCATGCACACCTCAAAGCACAATACTCAGCCAGGCCAGCAGGTGGCAGTAACACAACATTGAAATTGAATTAGAAATCCTGTTTTAAACATTATGTTCATATTTTATATGATTATAATTTATAATCATATAAAATTAAAACAAACACACATTACAGCAACAGGATGATTTCAGCTCTATAAGCCAACCGTGTGTGCGTGAGGAAGTGGTAGAGAAGGAAAAAAGATTCAGAACCTGCTAGCATGCTAGCCAGTTGTTTTGTGTAGAGGGTGCTATCCACAGACATCAAATCAAAACAAATCAAAGACACTTTATTAATCCCAGAGGGAAATTAGAGTTTCAGTACACACAATTCAGAGATCAGACATACATGGACAAGACACATGACAAGAATTGGTGACTGTGGTCATTCGCAACCCTGAGTCGCGCTACCTTAATAGAGATCAGAGGGTTACATGAGGATTGGTTCAGGTGGAGGGAAAAAAAGGCACTTCAGAGTTGCCGTCCACCAGGAGGGCAGCTTTGCTCTGCAAAAAAACACCTCAGACAGATATGCAACAGACTTCAGACAAAACAACATAAGTGTCCACTAGGTGGGGTGGTGGATTGGGACTATCCCCACTTCAGTTCCTGCAGCCACGATAAGCAGCGCATGTCACCTCAGTGTGGATAGGGGGAGGAGCATTGAGGTTGGAGGGTTGCAGTGACCCTGAACGCTTCAGCGGCCTTCCCGCAGTCCTGCCCAGGCTGGGAAAGTAGACAGCATAGCATAGCATGGTTTATTTATATAGCACATTTAAAACGCAGCATGGGAGCTGCCCAAAGTGCTGCACAGGCTAAAACAAAACACAACCATTCGAAAGAACTAAAAGAGAGGACAAAAATCCCAATCAAAAGCAGATAAAACATGATGAATACTAAGAATACATTAAAACAATGATACAATAAAACAGTAAAACGAGTCACTGTCTAAAAGCCAAAGCGTAAAAGTGGGTCTTTAAACGAGATTTAAAAACCAGAGTTGAGTTGCCATAGACAGTAGACACCCAGTGGACTGGCGCTGCCTATTGGAGTTGCCTTAGTGGCCGGCTGTCATTTTAGATGGGTCTCTATTCACCCCCGGTGCATTCATTTCTACTGAGGGAGATGTTTACCCAATTAAAAAACACAATTTATGTCATGTTCTGTGTCCCTTTGTTCCCCAGCCCCTCCAGTTCCCACTCCAGGTTCTCCTTTTGTGTTTCATAGCGCCCTCATGTGTCCTTTGTCTGTGTCTCATTTATGTGTCTCCTGTCTTCCTTTAGTCTTCTCCAGTCACCCCTCTGCAGCCAGTCATCCTCTGCAGTGTTTATAGTGTAGCGTTATGGATTTATGCTCTTTTATGAAAGAGAAACCATGCTACGTATTAATTCGGAATATTAATTTTAATAAATCAATAACCAAATTTTATATTGTTCAGAAGACTCAAAGGTTGTTTTCATCCATAAACTGCCGATAATATCTGAGTGTCTGTGTTTCAGTTCAATGAGGAAACCAGTTTGAAGGATTAAAAGTTTAATTCTTCAAATTAAACTAATGATTTTGAAAATTGACAAACAGGAAATAACAATCACATTGGCAACTTTGTGGGACAATCTTTTAACAGTTTATATGCTGTTCTTGCTCAAATAGACCTTCTGGTGAATTTATGAAGATTGAGAATGTTGTGACATGAATGCGTGTGTGAGTCTGATTTTGCTTCAGGAAGAAACAGGTGTCTGAGTGAAGTGATGGTTTGGATAAACTTAGGTCTTATCAGAGAACTGCATCAAACGCTAAAACCGTGCTCTGTCTCACCGAACTCTTGTGGACCCTCTTTCGGATCCGGGCCGTGGAGGATGTTGTGGTTCATCCAGATGACACCGGCGGCTGACAGGAGACGTAGGTGTCGAACGGAACCGGTCCAGAGTTGCCCTCGATACACGTGGATGGTAGAGCGTTTTATCGATGCGCTTTCTTAAGTTAATTCACTCAGAAATCAAAAGACTCGGTAATGAGTCTTCGTTAGAAGTTGCGATTCAGCTATTCTGCCTGGCTTGGCAGAAACAGCGTGAAAGGGGGGAAGAACGAGCCAACAGGCTCTGCCCCCCCTTTGGTTTTCAGGTCTGTTCTCTCTCGTTGTCCAACACGAACTGCATCAAAAGACTGAAAACTTACCAAAAACCTTTCTCTTCTCAAAGCAAAACATGTGCGTCATCAAATGTGTCTGGAGTTTACTGTGGGCAGATGTGTGTGGGTGTGTGTGAATGTTTGTGTGCTTGAGTGTGAAGGTCAGTACCAAACATTCTCAACACTATCTAATCATGGATTCATTAAGCCATTATAATTACCCCAAAGCATAAGAACCATTCATTTGATTAAACACATTTATAATGAGCAAAATGATAATGGTTATTCTAACATTAAAATCAAGAAAAAGAAGTTTAAACTTTATGTTTTGACTTGGTCTGGGCACAACTCATGTAAACACATCTTCTGGTAGACTGCAGGTGGCAGATGTTATGGTTTCCTCCCAGACTCGCTGGCGTTCAGGTCTTAATCTGTGGGTGAAAATTCTCAGCGACCCAGCTGTGACCCAGCTGCGTCCAACACCACCATTGTGACAGAAAACTCATATTTCCTCACGTTACAATAGTTTCAGCTTTTCATGTTATTAGTCTCTTTTATATGTTTTGTCCCACCGGTCTTTGTAGTTCTCTTTCCCTTTAGAATTTTAGTTAGATGGTTGCTTTTCTGTTTTTAGGTTCACTCTTAGGTCATGTTAGTTTCTTCCCTGATTAGTCATTGCTTTCACCTGGTCCCCCCCCCCCCCCCCCCCCCCACACACACACACACACACACCCCACACACCTGCAGCTCATCTGCCTCCCATTATGCCCCAGTGTATTTAAGCCCTGTCTTGTCTCTGTGTCTGGTCGGTTCATTGTGTTTGTCAGCGTTGCTTGTGCTCTGTGTGAGCTTTTGTTCTCCTGTTACTCAGGACTCTGGTTGTTGGCTTCCTGCCTTTTTGGATTATTTTTGCTCTCCTAAATAAAATGATTTTTATTTTTAAACACTCCTGCCTCGTGTCATCTGGGATATCTGCATCTTGGGTCCTAACAACCTCCTCCTTGCTCTCAACGTGACAATTAATCAATCTTTTTCACAAAATCAGACACAATATGATAATTAAAATATAAATATAACTAAACTAAATGAATAAAAATACATTTAAATATAAAATCCCATCAGGCAGGCTAGAAAAGTCACTAGTAATCCCACATGATCTGTTTCCAATTGTACGCCAGTTGTTGTAACTGTTGGCTGCACAAAAACGGGCATGGTTGCTCACTCTGCATTGTCTTTGGAGAGTGAGGAGACCCATCCAACATGGTGGCAACACTGTTACGCTCTCCAGCGGCCACTGGGGGCATCTAGTATTCATGTTCATGGTGCTGTCGGCCAGCCCCTGAGGCATTCAATTCATGGATTGGCTCAAATATTCCCAGTTCTCCCAGGCAACCAAATGTGATTGGCTGTTTAGCTACAGTTCAGGGACACTTTCCCAGCGCCCCAGGAGAGAAACTATTAGTCTGGTAGAGGACAGCTGTTAAAAATGGCCTGAAATCAGATTGTATGTAGGCACACACAATTGAACAATTCTGACACATTTATAGTAAATATATGAATGCATATTGTAGTTTTTATTTACTTTACTTTTTTTTAAGTCAGTGAGGGCGGCGCCTCAGCGCCCTATATGGACGAGCTGCCGCTGCAGGGATACCTTCAGTTTTTCTTATAAAAATTAAACATCTTTCAGTGTTTACAGTGATAAAGCAGGGCTGTGTTTATTAATTCAAATATTTTCCAGGTTCCTCGTCCTTTTGTAGAATGTCTTCATCTTCATCAGTAATCAATTATTTCTAGTCCTTTGTATCTTCTTTCTGTTCTTGCAGCAGTCCTTGGACTTGGGCGGCAGATTATTACAGCAAGGCTGTTTCCTCTTTTTCAATCTGCACGGGTTCCTTTTTCCATTTCTCACCTGCAACAAGCCAATTAATAACATATTAGGGTTTGAGATTATGAAATCGTAGAATTTTGAGAAACTCTGACTCTCTTGATGTTTGTCGTCGTAAGTTGTGGTTTGGGTTAAAACTGACTCACGAACCCGTGAGACTCGGGGGGATGTGTGTTCTGCAGAATTATGTTTCGGCACAAACCTCAGTCAAACAGAACTCTTGTTTAGTCGCTTTAAAACCAAACAACGCTAACGTCTGTGGAATCTGTAGCTAAATATGTACCCGATAACAGTCTTTTACATGTTATTGTGAAAAATGTCACCAGCTTATAGGAAGGATTTCATTAGAGTTTTTATGGCAAACCACTAAAAATAAATTAATAATATACTTAGAGGAATTTTTATAAAACGCATGTTTATCATTTAAACCTCAGAAAACTCGTGACTAGTAACTTCATTGAAACAAATTAATTCTGATTTTCAAACAGATCTATTGTGGACGTGATAGACTTTATTACTTTTTTTCTTTGTCAGAAGCCGTAATATTTTGACCAAAAGAACATTTAAATAATATTTGAAACCTCCCTGAAAGATCAATAAGTTCAAAGAGAACAATTTTGTTTTTCACACGACACAAGCGACACACAGCTCAAGAAGGAACACGTATAAGGAAGGAAACAGAAAGCTCTTTTAATAGTCAGTGGTTTTTGTGAAACCAGTGTGCTGGCATGCGAGCACACACACACACACACACACACGTATAAAGCACGGACACTCTGAAGGTCAAACTGAAACAAACTCCTACAGGTCAAATGTGAGTCTGATTCATGTGAAATAAGTCGATACTAGCGTATAAATGTCTTTAAGCAAAATGGAATTTCCCACTTAGATGTATTTTTTGCTGCAGAGACAAAAGTTGTCATCGTTTGGGTCTGAGATACTGCTTAAATCTTCTGACCCCTCTTTAGGGATTTTCAGGGTCTAATAAGGTATAAATAAATATATAAGGTGACAAATTACAAGTTTTATACGCTAACAGGTCGAGTAAATAAATAATTAAATAAATAAATAAATAAGTGTTTTACTGATCCGTTGTAAAGAAATCTAAAAGGGAACAGTTCTTTTAAATATGTGCCTTATATACGTTCGGCATTAAGAAGCCACGCTGAGAAAGTGGGGAAGCTGACAGCAGTGACCTCTTATTGGTTCAGTGGGTTACATTTTTCCATGGAGTCCACTGACTCCAGGCCGACAGGACCAGTGGGTCTCTGGAGCGAACCCTCAGCCTGCTGATGCTCTTCGGTATCAGGGTGGATGAAGAGCGTTCGGTCTGAAGTCAAAGAGAGAGAGAGAATCACGGCGTCACAAATCAAGCAACAAAACATAAAATACTAATAAAAAAACGTTTGGGTCAGTGAAAGGCTGCGTACCCTGCCATCATCTCTGAACATGTACTCGATCTCGTGCTCCAGGCTGAAGAAGGTGTGAGGAGTCGACCAGCTGGATGGTGGGTCAACGGTCACATTTAAGTGCTGATCCACCTCCTCACACCTGATGATTTGCGGACTGTCAGGTATCACTGGGCACAGAAGAAGAAACAAGGGACACATTTAAGTTTCATCCTTCACGAATAATCAGTGTTGAGTCGTCCATAGGAGGCGCTAGGGTGCCACCCTCCCTGACGTTAAGGATGAAAAAATAAATATAAACTAAAAATATCTGACTATATTTAAATATAATTACTATAAATGTGTCAAGCTTGGTTTATGCTTGACGCGTCCGCGAGGTCCGCGCGGCTAAATTACATCATTTTAACAACCACGCCCCTCCGCCGCGCCTCCGCATGGCCCAAACTTTCAGCACCACCCTCCTAGGAAATTTTCTAACCACGCGGACGGTCGAACGTGGAAAAACATGGCGGACTGGCAAGAACTAGCATGGCAGAGGTTCGTAAATACAGACGTTTGTATGATTCAGCTCTCAGAGATCACCGTGATCAACATGTTGTTAATAATTCTTGGAGAGAAATAGCTCGCAGTGTCGGAAAAGACGAGAACGCTGTTAAAAATGCTGGAATGCCATGTTGTAAACAGTAATTTCTACTTCTGCTATGGTGTAGTGTTGGATGCATGCCGTAGAGCTCCATGCTGCCCCCTACAGTTTGGGAGAATATTGGCTCACCGCAGAGACGAGCCGCATGAACCATAAACGCTGCGAGTTGTGAAGCGCGTTCCATCCGCGAGCCGCATCACCAAGCGGAAAGTAAATGCGTCAAGCATAAACCAAGCTTAAGTCTTAATTGTGTGTACCAACATCCAACTGGAATTGTTTACTCATAATTTTCACCAGCTCTCATGTTAAACTGTGAGTTTCCTCCAACACACTCACCAATATCACTCCTGGGGCGCAGGAAGGAGCACCCCCTGAACAGCAGCTATACAACAAATCACACTTGGTTGCTAGGGAGAACTAGAGAAATTTAGGCCAATCAGTATCACTGAATTTGGGGTGAAGGTCAATAGTGTGCCTGCTACAGGAAATAGCTAGCTAGCATTCTAGAAGAATCTCATTTTCCCCTTTCTCCCTTAGTCCCTCATTCACACACACTCACAGTTGGTTCATATTGGTAGCGCTGACATTCTACAGCTGCTGCAGTAAGGTGTGTTTATTTGTTCTAATTTAATGCGATAATAGGGAGCCTAAGTAGAACCAAAGAAATTAATGCAAGTCAATGGGGCTAAAAACGCTAATTTCGAATCCTGCTGGTTATGTACCAAGTTTTTCAGAAATGTTGTCTGTGAATTTTAAAGATGCATTGTGATACCAAGAAAGTGCCTTTTTTCAAACAGGGGAAATGTTATTTTAAGTTTGGTGTGAAAATGAGTCCGGGACAGCAAACGCACAAGTGACGTCAACCATTCAACAAGATTGTTCACCTATAAAGTTTAAAAAAAGGTATCTAATACGATTTATTTGTTGTGTTACTGCCACCTACTGGTGGGGGTGAGTATTGCACGCTGACTTGTGCATGCACAAAGCAGAAGATCCACTGAGACGGACTGAAAACTGAGGCTGGGATACACTAATGGTAAATGGTAAATGGCCTGTATTTGATATAGCGCCGTCTAGAGTCCTGGAACCCCTCAAGGCGCTTTACAACACAATCAGTCATTCACCCATTCACACACACATTCACACACTGGTGGGGATGAGCTACAACTTAGCCACAGCTGCCCTGGGGCGCACTGACAGAGGCGAGGCTGCCGAGCACTGGCGCCACCGGTCCCTCCGACCACCACCAGCAGGCAGCGAGGTATGAGATCCTTCTAGAATGCTAGCTAGCTATTTCCTGTAGCAGGCGCACTATTGGCTTTCACCCCAAATTCAGTGATACTGATTGGCCAAAATTTCTCTAGTTCTCCCTAGCAACCAAATGTGATTTGTTGTATAGCTGCTGTTCAGGGGTGCTTCTTCCTGCGCCCCTGGAGTGATATTAGTGAGTGTGTTGGAGGAAATTCACAGTTTAACATGAGAGCTGGTGAAAATGATGAGTAAATAATTCCAGTTGCACACACAATTAAGACTGACACATTTATAGTAATTATATTTAAAAATAGTCTGATATTTTTAGTTCTAATATCAAAATAAGGACAAAAATATAAATTGTAGAATACAGTTGCTCTTTAAAGTGTATACAGGTGTTTATGTTTATATCAGTATTGTTAGGATCTAATTTATATGCTAGTTTAACAATTTATCTGTAAAACTGCTTATTTGGAGAAGGAGTAAACATAATTTTTTTGGAATTGTTTTCCAGCTCTTCATTGGAAAGCGTGTAATGGACTAAGAAGGGGAAATCTTTTCACACGCAGGTCCACTAAGAACATCTTTCCCCAGCCAACACTAACGTTACTGTTGGTCATTTAAGCACAGGAGTTTCTCTAGAGATTGTCCTTCTCACCGATGTCTCTGAGAAATAACAGCTTGGTTCTCTTGAGGAAGTGGAAGTTTTCGATGGCTTCAACGGTGACTTCGAGCTCGGTGCTTTCCTCAGCGTAAGGGGAGCGCGAGTGGGTCAGAACAAACTGGTTCTGCTGCTGGTCGCTGCTGCTCACCCACTTACACGATTTCTGACCATCAGTGCTACAAAAGCAAAGCCACAAAACACACACTCAGTGAAAAAGTTTACTTATTTCTGTCAGTTAACCATTATTTGTCATTTTAGAGCTCCTCTCTTTACCATTCGTGGCCAAGTCCGAGGCGCACAGCTGTGTATTTGCCGCCGGTCCACATGCAGCTGAAGCTACAGTCGTAGGACTTTGCACGACATCTGAGGAAGGAATCTGAAATGAAACACAATGCAAGTGAACATAAATGCAGCAAAAATCAAATCTTTAAATGATTTTTTAACATTTAAAATTGTCTTTGGTTATATTTACAGTGTTTCTTCTTTTTTGTCTCACCTATCTCATCTTCCTCGTCAGCCTCCATCAACAGAAAGGTTGATGATAACTTCTCCGTTCCTTTCCAGCAGCTGTACTCCCCCAACATGGGTGCGTGTACTTCAGACAAGATCAGATTCTGTCCATCCTGTAAAGCATAGTACTCATCTACAACTTCCCCATGCAGCTTCCACGTCACGGGCCCACTGGTCATTCTGTTGCAGGTCAGTGCGACTGGACTTGCAGAATTTCTTTTTGCAACCACAACTGCCCAGAAAATCCAGCAGAGCAGATGTGTTCGCAAAAACAAAAACAGGTTAGTTTTGGTCCATTTGCAGCAGATGAAGGAGGAGGCAAACAACTCACAGTGTTTTGGAAAGTCTCTGAGTCCACGTGATCCAGTCAGGCTGAGCAAGAGAAGCCCAGTTATCAACGATGATGGAGCCATCTCTGAACAATGAGACAATCACAAGAGAATGATTCAAAATGAGTCTTTAACTGCTCAAAAAGGCACATTTTACAGGCTAAATCCAGTTATTTGTACACAAATATTCCAGTTTGTCTGAAAGCTTTCAGTTAAAAGCAGTTGTCGGTGAAACAAAATGAAAACAGAAGCAAATTTAAAATGTTTGCAAGGCTAAAATCAAAACAGTCAAATCATGTACCAAATACTTTATGTTACTGTTCAGCTCAGTTGTTTCCCACCGTTTAGAAGAAGTTAGTTTGAAGTGCAGCTGACCAGATCAGAAGTTCAGGGCGTCCCTGCTGATGTGCGCTCCAACTTCCCTCCGTTTGGTCTTTTTAAACTGTGACTGACATCAACACCCCTGGCCACCTCCCGTAACACCTTCAGGAGGTGTGAATGAAACTGACCCGAGCAGAGCACCGGTGTGAGGTCACACGTTTCAACGGAAAGATTTTCCTCCGTCCTGCTTTGCATGTCAGAGTTTGGTAACCAGAGTATGGAATGACAGAGAGAGATGTAGATAAGAACTGTGAGGCGGGGGGTTGCCACCGCTCCTTGTGACGCAACATGTCAGACAAACTATGTTTGTTTAAAAAACACACACACACATATGCACACACACACACACACACACACATACCCATCTAACTGTATTTCATAGGAGATTCTCCCGTTGGAATTCCCAGTTTCCTGGATTATAGGTCACAGGTGCACTGTAAAAAAGTTCAAGTCTATTTTTATGTCCCTAAATTCACAAAAACACCAAAATATTGTCACTTTCTAAACACTGCACATTTTTTTCCACATAAAGAAAAACATTTTTGACATCATCCTCCCTGCTTCTTAAAACATTTAAAACACTGCATTTTTAAAATTCCCCAGACTCAAAATCAGATTCAAGACTAAACTAACTAACATAATAAAACAATAATCAGAAACACTTAACAAATCTTTATTAATGTCCTGATATTTAAGTCTAGGCTTATACTCTTATTCTCTTGCTCTTAGTTATTGTTAATTTATGACTGCATTTATTATCTTTGCTTTTTAATAATGCTTTTATCTTATTCTGGTTTTAGTTTTCAGGATTGCATTTTTATTTGTTTTTAATTGGTTTTTGTTTATGTTAAGCACTTTGGCTACAGCTGTTTGCTGCTGTAAATGTGTCACGAGCTGACTGGCGGATCCGTAAGAAGACCCGACACAGAATGACAGTTTAACGAGTTTTATTAAAAGGGAAGAGAGGCTGAGGCTAGGTCAGGAGGCAGGAGGTCGTTACCAGGAGATCTGAAATAGAGAATAGTCCGTAGGGGAAATCCAATAATCGAGGTCGGGGACGGAGCAGAGTCGGGATCAGAAGACTAGGTGAGTAATCAGGCTGGAGAATTTACTTGCAGAGCGTTCAATAATCTGGCGATGACTGGGTAGCTGAATGGATCTTATATAGCAGGAAGAGCAGGTGTGGTGAATTAGGCTGATGACAGAACAGGTGGATTGAATGGAGCTGATGAGCTGCGGGCTGTGGTTGCTGTGGCAACAGGTCTTCGGCAGGAACAGGATCATGACAAAATGTGCTATATAAATAAAATGGACATTGATATTGTTAACTATCAAGTGTCATTAATGTTGGGGCAAAGGGCCGGTAAGGGGGGTCTGCTTAGTAATGCATCACATAATATCCAAAATGCTGCTGCACGGATCATCACTCGTACCCCCTATAGAGATCACATCAGCCCTGTTCTTCAGCATCTCCACTGGCTGCCTATTGAACGCAGAATCTCATTCAAAATCCTGCTTCTCACATACAAATGTATCCACTGTCTCGCCCCTCCTTACCTCTCCGATCTCATCCATGTTGCTGTCCCATCTCGCTCCCTCAGGTCTTCTTCTGCCATTCACCTTGTGGTTCCTCCTGCTCGTCTCACCACCGCTGGAAACAGAGCTTTCAGTCGCTCTGCTCCTCGGCTCTGGAACTCACTTCCTCCTGACATCCGAAACACTGACACCCTCCTCTCATTCAAATCCAAACTCAAAACTCACCTGTTCAACCTGGCTTACACTCTCTAGCCCACAAACTCTTTACTCTGACATTTATAGCATACTTTTAGTAATTTTATTGTTTACATGATTTTATTCTTATTTGTGTGTAAGTTTTATCATGTTTTGTGAGGTGACCTTGGGTCTTGAAAGGCGCCTATAAATTAAATGCATTATTATTATTATTATTATTAATATGGTTTAGCAGTTGTTATTACTTATTTAAACCGTTTATTAAAGCTTAATAACGCATTAAACATTAATAAAAGGACCCTTATTGCAAAATGTTACCAAATAATCTATAATTATCTTAGTCATAAAAAACCTACAGACTATCTCCTTTGCTGGCTTTCCCCTAAATCACCATCTAGTAAACTTCTGCTATTCCTAAAGTACAAGAACGTGTAAACAGAGGTCAGCAGAGGAAAAGAAAGCAGGACAGGTATCGGGACTTTCCCTAACTCAAGGGGTAAACCTACTTTGTATGGCAAAATGTCAGCCACCAGAATAGAGACGTGCTCCTGTTTCCTCAACCATGCTAGACAGAGACCGTTTGTTCCTGTTACACGTGTGAACTCATTCAGTTACATAAAAAAAGTGCAGCAAACCTATGTTAGTGTTCAGAGTTGTAAATGTTTCTGTCCCTGTAAATCCTCGGTGGTTTTAGGGTCTGGAAGGAGAAGCATCGTGTAACTCAGTTGAGATTTTTCACTAGAAAGCAGGTCATGGTTTCAGTTCCTCAAAGAAATAAAGGAGCTTTTTTTTTTCTTGAGAATGATGAGAATTTTAAATTTAGACCTCAGAAAAGCCCAAATTCTCAAAACGGGCTTGTTGAAAGGTGACTAACGGACCCGAGGGCAGAACGTGACATTCAAGGGAAATATAGATAGAAAAGTATTTTCACAAAGTCCAATCACATACAATAAAATTTACTAAACACAACATTTTATTCTGGAAATCCAGTTTAATGATCAAAAACTCATATTTTAAAAGTATGTCTGGTCCTGATGTCTATTAATTAAAATTAACGGGTGTTTTTTTTGTTTCAGAGACTGTTGACCTTTGACCCAGTAATAAATTAGAGGTCTGGTCTAATAAATATTATATTGTGAGCAAACAAGGAAAAAAATACATGAATGAGGCCTCTCGTTTTGTGTTTTTTTCCCAAAAGGAATGGGGGATAAATATGTTGTCTAATTAAAACTAACTGAGGCTCTTTGTCTCAGCTGAGAGAAACAAGCTAACAACCGGCCACAATGACGCCACTTACAAAGAGTCATAGAACTGATCCGGTCTCAAAGGTTTCATCGTCATCATTTAACCTTTATTTTGTCACAAATGTGAAATTTTGTGGTTTTTCTGGCAGAATTATTGAGTTTCAACCCAGAGATGCCAGAGTATTGAGTTGCATCATTGCTTTCTGCTGCTAACACTAACCAAGTGAAACTGATGATGGCGTAGTTGTGTAGAAAGTCACATTTATTATGAGTTGTTACGAAACTCTTGAGGTTGGTTTTAAGATGGCAAAAACATTTTAACTCGGCTAATCTGTCCAAGCAAATCTGTTTCTCCAGACTGGAGTTGTCCAAAGTCACCGACAGCAGATTAAATGTCCACAAAACCCCGATTTACAAGAATGTAAACTATCCATGACAAGTAGACGAGTGAAGCTGGGCTGTTATTTCCTTACCCTACGGACTAATCATGACCTTTTTAACTCCAGAGAAAATAAATCAGCTTTAGAAGTTCAGAAGATTTTGCATATTGAATTCTGCTCACAGCTAGAAAAACGTCTGAAGTGTCTTCACGTAGGCGCTTGCAGCGAAAGGTTTCTTTATTCAAACATGGACTCATCACCAAGGCCGGATCTTCCCCAGCTGCTTCTTTCCTCGGCTGAGAGTGTCTCTTATTCCACTATCCAGGACGTGTCCTAAAATCCTCACAACTAACCTAAAAATGCCTTGATTGATAAAAATCACAAGACTGTTGACAATCCTTACAAATTTAAACTTCAGGGCCAAGCAGAAGAGGTGGGATCTTGATTGGCACGCACCACGGCGTTGACGGTTTTCTCCATAATTTTGGGCATTGGGCTGCTCTATCAGGATGCAAAAACACACCTGACCCTCGCTGAAGGGCGCAGGTTCTAACATTTAGCTGAGTAGATGCTTTCAAGTCTCCTTCTGCAGGAAGAGGAGTCACTGCTGGTTAACCATTAGTGTCCACACAGGATCTATAGATAACCCCCCATGGTGTTTTAAAGTGGAGCCAGAATTACAACGTGACACGTCTCTCAGCTTTGGTGAGTAATAAGTTTGGTGGAAAGTCCTTCTGAGCAACACCAAAGGAGTCGTGAAGCTTATCTGAGCTGTTCCACAGATCCAGACCAGTGGTTCCCAAGCCTTTTTCCAGGAAAGCCCCCTTGCCAGTATCCAAGACAAGCCAAGACCCCCCCCCCCCCCCCCCCCCCAGCTCCTACCTGCATACACATATTAAAGGTGTTTAAATACCAACTCGGTAGCTCAGTGGCCTAGTGGTATGAGTGTCCAACATGATGCTGGGAGATCGTAGGTTCAAATCCACAGTCGGCTCATCAAGTGTCAAATAGTTTGTGAGCATGTCCGTGTCTATTTGATCTTGGTACCCTTTCAACCTCAACACAGACAAAAATAATAATAAAATTAATAATACATTGAACTTATATTCACACCTTTTAGGACACTCAAAGTTTCACGCACTCTCACATTCACACACTGCTACTGATGGTAAGCTGCTTTGTAGCCACAGCCGCCCTGGAGCGGTCTGACAGAGGCGAGGCTGCCATTGGGCGCCGTCGGCCCCTCTGACCACCACCAACACAGACAAGTTGGGTGAAGTGTCTTGCCCAAGGACACAACAGCAGGATACCCCTGGCGGGAGCTGGATTCACACCCATGACCCTCCGATCATGAGGCAGCCCGCTCTACCTCCTGAGCTTTTTTCCAGGTCTCTGGTGGGAGTGAATGCCTTGCAGCCGTAATCGGAGCAAAAATCATGTTAATGTTCAGTCAAACCATATATTGATCTTGTTTATTCAAGACATAATTGTAAAACAAAATAAAAATATTACAATTAATGAGCAAAGAAATAATCAGAATTTAAAACGTTACACGTGTTTCTGCTGCTCACCATTTTGAAAAAGTTTTTATCTCCATAGTTTTTTTTTTTTAGTTTTTTTTTGTGAACACAGCAACTGGTGAATTAACCTAACAAGAAACATTTTTAAATAAAATTTGGGATAACATTTTAAAAAACTGACATGTGCTTTTCTAAAATGTTTGTTTGTAAAATTTAAGTAAAATGTTTTGAATACGTACTGATATTTTAATAAAAACGAATAAAGGTACAACGCCACAGACTAAATTCAACCAGAGTTGCCACAAGGACCAATTTAGCGTGCCACCCCAAAAACTATTTTGCCCCATCTGGCCACCCCTCTCAAAATTTTCTGGAGGCGCCCATGGGGGTCTACATCCAGTATAAAAGCTTTTACGTCTGAGTGTGTGTGTCGGCGCTGCTCCAACCTCCCACTTTCCAGCATATGAGAGGATCTTTGCTTTCTTCACAGCAACCTTTTATCTTCAGTAACAACCTCTTCCTTATTTGGTTAAAACGTGTCGTAGAGGCCTCTTCTCCTTCAGCAGTGAAGACTGTGCTGCACCTGTGTCTGCTATGTTAGCTCTGCTGAGTGAAGTTCTAGAATAGGTAAATACACATACAGGTAGGGCTGCACAATATATCGCAAATATATCGTTATCGCGATATCAGCTTGCACAATATGCATATCGCCATGAGCAGATAAATATCGTAATGAATGGTCAGCTCAGATTCTGTCGGTCAAACATAAGCATGATGTTTTTGTAGCACATCAAATACAGCTCTTCACCCATTTGGGTGGGTTCTCATAGGTCAGATGCCCGCCCCCGAGGCGGACGGCACCTAATTTTGATGGTTAGCAAGCACCTGAGTTAGCTTAGTTCTGCTGATTCAGCTTTTCCTGGGATCCACTGGTTGCCTTTTCTTGTTCACTTTCTTTTCCCTTTCCTCACGTCTTTTGTTTTTCTCATTTTAACGATTTCTTTCTTTCTTTGTTTTTGATTATTTTTGTTCCTGAGTTAAGTTTTTATTTATTGCAAGTGACATCGTCATCGCAATATTAATCACTGTTATCGAATATCGCCGGCTTTCCTAATATCGTGCAGCCCTACATACAGGTTATAAATATACTTGTATACATTTTTCAGCATGAATTTTTAGGCCCATTTTAATAATTTAAGTTCCATAAAATTACTCATGATTCAAAGAACATTTGTTTTACACATGAAAACAGGAAGCTTAATTCAAATATGCAATAACTGACCTGACTGTTACAGGAGTTACTTGATGTGTGGGATGTAATCCTGAATGTGACTGGTTTGTTCTGCATCTGTTACGATCCAGGCTGACTACAGGGACCTGGGGTAACAACTGAGGATGCATGTTCTCGTGTAAAATTAACATAACACTTATTTACATAAATATAACACAAAACACAGATTATCAAAAAAATAGGACACATCAGCAGCAACCCAAAACTAGCGACGACTAAACTCTCTCATTAACCGAATTAATGCCCCCACACTTCAAAAGACCACCGCGTAACTTCCTTAACCGAGTGATGTCTTATTTAAACCAAAGCAAAGTGCAAAGCTTCATTTACACTGAAAATGGTTGCAGTTAAACAGGGAGTTTCTCAAAACACTCAACAAAGTTGTTACGTTAACTTTAACAAAACCAAACGCTGCTGAGGAGACAACAGACCAGAGAACCTGCTCAGCTGCTCCCTGAAACCAAGGCTGGCTGATTTTTATGTAGCTGGCAGAGCGGATCATCAGGAACAGCTGGGAGAGTAATACTGGGAGACAATCCAATGAGATAGGAGCCAGGTACTGCATCTCATCACACACACACACACTCTAAAACACAGGGAAAAACCCAAATGACCCTGGGCCATAACACTTCGCCTCTAAAATTAAAGTTCACACACTTTGATTACACATCCCCCACCCCCCTTTTAACTCAATCAGTGCTGGATTGATGATGCAGACCCAACTGGTGCCCATAAGTCCCACATCCACCGGTCACTGCTCACGCAGGGTCCAGCTAACACCGTCTTCGATGGTGGTCCACCGTCTGCTCACTCCGCTCTCCCAGACAGGACTCCATCAAAGTCTCACCAACACCATCATTAAAATGACGTAAGCATCGCTCGGCCCGACTACAACTTCTTTACAAAGAGGAACAAATAAGGATATTGGTGGCACTGGGGCTGTAAACACAGTGTGTGTTTGTGTTTCAGCATGACATAAGACCAGTCACTCCAATTTAATCTGATACACACGTACTACACAAGAGGATTAGGGCCGCTGAAAAGACAAAAAGAATTCTGACGTTTTTGAGATTTGAAGAAAAAAGAAGTCAGAGTTCTCTTTACCTTTTTTTCCAGTGGCCCTAATCCTCTTCCGTACTAATCACGTATTAGTTTCATTGCAAATAACGTGTAAATAAGAACATAGGAATGAAAGTGAAAGTCACATTTTATTACATGATTAAGTTCATCAATACATTTTGTATTGTGAGCAACAGAAGGCAGGAGAAGCAGCAGGAGGAAGAAGTTAGCGCACGCTAAACGGAATAAATTTACTCTGAAGATGAAATTGTGGTTCCTGTAAAAACTTGTTTTATTATAAACGACACATTTAGAATTATAACTCAAGTTTTGTTCGTTTCCATGGAGAAAAAACAAGAGGTGGACAGAATTATTCTGTTAAATCCGATGTGAAATGTTGCACTGGTGATGGTTAGATCGCCTCGTTCTTTGAAGCTTCATCAAAGTTTTCAACAAGATCTGAAAAAAAAAAGGATATGAAAGAGTTATGATGAAACGTATTCACATGAGAGCAAACATAAAAGATATACACAAACATACCTGAATAATATTACAATGAGAACATCTGATTAAAGTAGGGCTGAACGATTCCAGGAAAAGACTGAATTGCAATTTTTCTAGCAGGAATTGCGATTTCGGTTCAATTCCTGATTTTCTGCAAACAAAGGTCCGACATTAGCCTGCCAAGCCATCCTGTAGATTCATCGTCAGTACCCGGTCTGCCTACTTCCATCTACGCAACATTAACCGCCTACGCCCCTCCCTCACTTCTCACTCGGTCGCCATCCTTGTCCACAGCCTCATCACTTCCCGTATTGACTACTGCAACGCTCTTCTCTTCGGTCTTCCTCACAAGTCCCTCCATAAACTCCAACTTCTCCAGAACTCGGCAGCCCGCATCATGACCAGAACTCCCTCCTTCCACCGCATCGCCCCTGTTCTTCAGCAGCTCCACTGGCTCCCGGTCACTTCCAGAATCCAATTCAAAATTCTGCTATATACATTCAAAGCCATCCATAACCTAGCTCCCCCGTACCTCTCAGACCTCCTTCATCCCTCAACCTCCACCCGTCCCCTCAGGTCCTCCTCCTCCATCCACCTCTCCGTCTGGTCACCATGGGGAGCAGGGCCTTCAGTCGCTCTGCTCCCCAGCTCTGGAACATCGACTCCCTCACTCTCTTTAAAACCAGACTCAAAACCCACCTGTTCCGTCTAGCATTCCAATTATTACTCACTTTGCTCCAATCTGTCTGTTTTATGCTGTTCTGTCTTTTATTGTTGTGTGTTTTATCTCTGTCTGTACAGTGTCCTAGAGTGTTTAGAAAGGCGCTGTTGAAATAAAATTTATTATTATTAAGTGAAAAGATGGTCTAGATTCTAATCTAGTACAACAAATCATTCACATTAATATTTACTATTTAATCATACAATAAAAACAGTAAAGCTATTAATATTTTCTCCCATTATTATCTTTTTTATTTTTTAACGTGTTTGTGCAGCAACTTGTGATTTTTATCTGGAGGAGCTTCATAAAAACATGTTCTACTCCAAAAATGCATGGAGGAAATCTGTAGGTAGAACTAGCTTTTAAATGTATTAAATAACAAAAAATGCAGTTTTCCCTGGATGACCGCGGCAGGCTGAAGCCGTCTGATGGTTTTTCCTCACTAAAACGTCAGCTCCGCGAGAGAGGCGCACGCATTCTGACACCTCGACTTTTGAACGAACGTGTGCCGTCAGAAACATTCAAACCATTTTTAAAAGTTGAGCTTTCAAGTCAACTAAAGTGTGCGACACCGCATTCGCGCTGATGAAGCATAAACCAAGCTTTAGAAATCAGCCTGAACCTGCGCCGATGTGGGAGGAGTCTCTCCCTTACTCAACTGCGTTCTCTCTCTCTCTCTGTCCCGGGCTCACCTACGGTGCCATTATTATCGGCTCTAGCAGCGCCGTGTGTGGGAACATAAAACAGGGAAAATAACCTGAACATGCAGCTCTGTCAGCAGTGGAGTTGGGCTCGGCTCTGGAAGGTACACCCCCCACCCCCCCCACCCCCCCACGCTGGCTTTTGCCGCAGCCATAACACAGGGGGGAAAACCTCGGATGTAAAAAAAAGGTTACACAAGTTATCCTGGATCAGTCAAAACCGCTAAAACCGCAGCTTTGACGGTCACGTGATCGTGCTGTTTGAAATCGCAATTTCTGTCCAAAAACGATCGTTCAGCCCTAGATTCACGTGTTTAAAACAAACAGTAATCCAGAGGCTTATCAGACTTCCTCCTCTTATCCGTCTGAGCGTTCCTTCTCTGTGGCCGTCTCCAAGTTTCATTCCCCCACCACCTCCCTTACCCATGGTGTCCCACAAGGTTCTGTGCTGAAGCCTCTACTGTTCCTCCTCTATCTGCTTCCTCTTCAGCACATCCTGAGCTCCTTCAAAGGAACCTCTTACCATCTTTATGCAGATGACATCCAACTGTACATCTCCTTTAAGCCCCATGAGATGTCTAAGCTGCAGCTGTTACACACCTGCTTAGACTCTATCAAAACATGGATGGTGGGAGCTTTCTTCAGCTGAATGAAGATAAGACTGAGATCCTCATCTGTGCCCCAGACAAGCTGGTTCCCAAAGTCAGAGACTCTCTTGGTCAGCTTGCTTCCCACACCAAACCTTCTGTCAGGAATCTTGGCATGACCTTTGACCCAGCTCTCACCCTGGATTCTCACGTCAGTTCTCTTCGCTCTTCCTTCTTCCATCTCAGGAACGTTGCTAAGCTGAGTCCCATTCTGTCCCGCTCTGAACTTGAGACAGTTCTCCACACCTTCATCTCCTCACGCTTAGACTACTGTAACTCTCTTTTCACGTGTCTGAGCAGAACCTCTCTGAACCGTCTACAGGTGGTTCAGAACACCTGTGCTCGGCTTCTGACCAAGTCCTCCAAACACACCCACATCACCCCGCTTCTCCTCCAGCTTCACTGGCTGCCAGTCAACTTCAGGGTTCATTTCAAGATCCTGGTTCTGGTCTATAGGGCCTTACATGGACAAGCACCATCTTACATTGGTGATCTTCTTAGTCCCTACACCCCCAGCTGGTCCCTGAGGTCCAGTGATCAAAGCCTACTGGTTGTGCAGCACCAGGCTAAAGACCAAAGGTGACAGATCATCTGCTGCTGTGGCCCCCAGACTCTGGACCTCTCTCCCCCTGAGCCTGAGATCAGTGGACTCAGTGGTCTCCTTTAAAAAGCAGCTGAAGACTCACTTGTTCAAGCTGGCTTTTGTATGACCTTCTTCACCTCTCTCTCTTTATTCTGCTCTCCCCACCTATTCCACCTTCCTCAGGATCCACTGATCTCCTTTTCTCTTATTCATTTACTCTTTCCTTACATTTCACAGTTGTTTTCCTCATTTTTATGATTGAAAAATCATTTTATAAAGTCTTTTTTACACTTTAAATGTTTTGTTCTTGTGAAGTGCTATATACAGGGTATCTGCAGGTTTAAGGGAGTCAAATTTAAGACTTTTTTAAGGCCGCTTTGACCAAATTTAAGCTGTTTTTTTTAAATTAAATTTAAGCTATGATTTCCAGCTATTACCTGGAACGTCGCGAACGTGGGATTAGCCATCCAGTTACCATTAAACTTGCACTTTCCCAAGGCGCAAGCTCCCACTAGCTTAACCAGCTAATGTGCTCATCTAAAAATAGCCCCCTTTCACTGAATGGGTGCGGTTCCGCTTACGGCAACATCGTACACAAAAAAAGCTGAACACTAACTAGAAATTCACAAAATTTTTATAGAAATAAAAGAATCTTGATTATTGGGTGTTTGGTAATTTAAGACCTTTGGAAACTGTATTTAAGGATTATTTGTCATTTTTAAGGATTTTTAAGGCCTTAAATTTGGAAAAGCTAATTTAAGACTTTTTAAAGGACCCGCGGATACCCTGTATATAAAATATTGTTTTCTTTCTTTTTCACAAACTGATGTTTTAAATAAGCCAGCATGGATTAATTATAAAATATTGTTTTTACTTGAAATGGGCTGATATTCTCACGTTGCAGTAAAGCAAAGCATCATATTAGTAAATAGTGAAGTACAAGCATGGTTACCTGGAACCTCATCATCCTCCTCTTCAACTGTGACCATGGGGGCTCTGTTCTCTCCAGCTATGGGGAAGGGTTGACATATTTTAGCTAAACCTAAACAGCTGATAAATATAGAAGACATTTTTCTAAGTACCTGGTTTGGGCAGGGTCTCTGCTAGTCTCCTGAGGCTGGTGAGACTGTCAGCTCCCAGCTGATTTAGGATTCCTGGCAGCATCTCTGTTAGCTGTTTGTTCTCAGCGTGACCAGTGATGGTAAAAGTGTTGGCAGCCAAGGAGGCCTGGACCTTCGGGTTATTAAAATGAATCACCGTGCCCTGGTTTGTGAACATATTCACCTGCAGCAAAAACGGAGTGAAAACGGTTTGAAAACCCTCCTCAGAGTCTTTAGATAGTTACAGACCTGGTTAGAGACCTGACTTGTCTGCCATACCTCCTCAATACCAGAGATATTGTTGACTCCAAGTTTCTTTAGTGAAAACTGCAGCTTCTTATCATCAGCTGTAGCCGTTCTGTGCACCACCTTCTTCTTCCTACGAGCTGACCCCTACAAAACAAAAACTAGTTTTAATTAAGATTCAAAAAACTGCAAAAAATAAAAAAATAACCCCATTTCTTTCACATAATGGATTTAAACTTACTTTGCCACCTATGCGGACCTGAGCCTGCAGTTTGGCAAGCTTCTCCTGGTTCATTATTGACTCCTTCATCTGATGCAAACACAAGATATAACAAAAAAAATGCGTATAAGTGATTTTAATAGTTTTACAGGTAAATGAATGTGAAGAACAACACTAATTCCAAACTGTAAGTTGCAATTAAATAATTGGGAGATGACACACTAGATGCGAAAATCATTCAACTATTACTTTCGCTGCCATTTCTGGTGTAACTTCAAACTTACAAGAAAGGTGAGGTTTGTAGTTAGGATTGAGTGTCAGAAAATAAAAATGTCCCAAATTACCCCTCAGCTTTTCGCTTTAACACATCAAACTAACTCAGGGCGGTCTGGCTCAAAATAGCTGCAGACTTGTGTGAACTCAAGTGGCATGGCAGCTAAACCTATTGCATGCAAGGTCGATTATAAACGTTTATTTGTATCACACAAATCCTATTGGGAGAAAAACTTTACCTAAAATGAGATTGTAATTTATTTTCCATCACATCTATTTTCTAAAACGTGTTTTTCTTGTGAATTTGTGTCAAGTGAACTACGGCTAGGAACGAATCACGCTAACGCTAGCTCGGGCCTCTTCAAACCGACGTTGACAGAATTATGCCGACTGTTTCCATCGCGTTTAAACCCACAGTGTGAGGTAAGGTTAGATTTAGCTGCTAAATTACGATTGTTTAAGTATGAAATACATGCAAATACAACATAGACGTGCGTGAACAGACCTGGGACTGTGTACACACGCGGGTCACACAACAGTCGATGAAGACAGAAAGGGGGGAGCCCGGAAATGACGTAAGATAGATAACCTAACAGTGTTGTGACGGAAAAAGCATCCCTGAGGTCGGAAGCGCCCCTTATTAGGAAGCAATGCTTACTTTTTTATTTTATTTTATGTAGTGTTTCTAATAAACTAAATTCTAGAATCATGACTGCAGCGTAATAATGACGAGCACAATGGTTTGATTGTTAGCTAAATAAAATAACTATATAAGCGTATCATTAGTAATGCAGTCAGATGTGAGAAACAAACATACCCAGCCATCCCAGACTGGTTTAAATGAATAAACACAGCAGGAAAGTAGTTAATCATACACGCATTAAGTGACGAACAGGAGGGTTTTATTTCAACGCAACACAAACACGCACAAACGCTTCAAATAACAGAAAAGGAAAAAGTACGAACAAGTAAAAAAAAAAAATATATATATATATATTTTTTTAAAAAAGCCATCCGGTGACTACAAAAAGTAATTTTTGTCCCATCCTTTTGACGTCAACGGAAATGTCAACGAGAGTGCGTTTGACGACAGAGGTGCACTTTTAAACACAACACCTATCGCAGTTTTTCAGTTTTATTTCTTTTTCTTCTCACTTATCTTTTACGCTTATTTCTTAAACAAATAAAACAAAACGTTAATCTAGGTAAATAAATCCATTCTTACAACCACTTCGTCATTTTTCTTGTGTTGTACTTCGATTATCGATTAAATCAAGTAATTAGAAAACATACGAATATAACAATAATAATAATGATGAAGACGACGACGATGATGTAATTATTTATTACTTTATCTAATTAAAAGGAAAAAAAACTTTTATTTTGGATTACGGAAGTAGTTACGTTTTCCATCATGGCGTCCTCCTGTCCGCGGACAGGCAACGTGATCACTCGATAAAATGAGAAAGTTTTTCTTCACTTAGACTCAAAAGTCAACAATAATTAAAGCCAGACCATTGATTTTACAAACAAGTCCACCTTTCAGGACCTTGATCGTTTCAGAGGTGAGAATAATCAGAAGGCTTTAGCATAAACATGCTAGCTGTCTTTAGCAACGTGCGCTGAACGCGCTTAGACTCTTCACGCTTAACTGCTTTTGTTTTCAGATTTGTCACTTCATATGTGCGCTTGTTGTTTGAGTTCATGTATTAACTGGTTGTTTTTTACACGCAGAGTGTGACTTTGCCGTTGATCCGTTTTGATGCTTCTGCCCGACATGTGTTAACTTAACCAGCAAAACCTTTTAACGTGAACTCATTTTAAATCCGCTTCATCCTCGTTTTCATAGATCTATCTACAGAAAGCACACAGATGGCCTCTTTTAAACCCACACAAATCCCAGACCTTCCAAAACTTGGAGAAAAGATCACAGAGGACACATTATACTGGAAAAACTACAAGGTACGTCTCTGCTGAGGCAGCTTGTGATTTAAAAGTTACACTGATGAGGTTTTCCTGTGTTCACCATTTTCACCATTGTCTTGTTTTTTGCTGCAGGCTCCTGTCCAAATTAAAGAATTTGGGGCAGTCTCAAACATCGACTTCTCTCCGGTATCTCCACATAACTTTGCTGTAACTGCGTTCACAAGAGTGAGTTGGCTTTGTAATCAAAATCCAGGTTTTATTTACTAATCTCTACAGATTTTAACTGCTACCCTTTTGACTACTTTTTATCTGTTTGTTGCATCTGGAATGAATATCTACATTTCTTTGTTTGATTTACAGTTTGCTGTTCTTGCTTCTGTAAAGCACATTGAATTGCCTTTGTGTTTGAAATGTGCTATACAGCTCAAGCTGCTGTGCCTTATGCTAATAGCAGGAAATGTACAGGGAAACACTACAAATTATAGTAATCCAAAGATGCAAAATAATTAAAAACAAGCACTAAAGCATAGTTAATATTCTTATTACATTACATAATTCCAAAATTATAAATAAATTAGAAATACTGTTAGATACAACCCATATTAATGCCCTTAAACAAGTCTGGAGTTGTTAGTTTTGGTTTAACTTCTGTTACTTGTCTGATTGTTACCGACTCCACGTTTGTTTACTTTTCTTTTTCTCCACAGATCCACATTTATGGACCGTTTTCCCAAGAACCTGTTAAGACCTTCACTCGGTTCAAGGACACGGCGTACTGTGGCAGGTTCAGATCAGATGGTCAGCTGCTTGTTGCAGGATGCGAGGACTCTGTTGTCCGTCTGTATGACGTCGGCGGCAAGGCGGCACTCAGGATGTACAAAGGGCACACAAAGTGAGCATGTTGCCATCGCTGTAGTTCTGTCGTAGACCAAGAACGGGGTCGAACTGAGCAGAATTTGATCTCTTCACTACTCTGATGGGTTTGGACTAGTGATACACCGAAATGATATTTTTGGGCTGGTATCCAGAACTAATATGACTGTTATGGCCGATAACCGATATGCTGACGTTAATGCTTCTAAAATCAGCAGATTTTGTATAGAATGAAAATTGTTGAAGCTCTCGATTTACCGGTCGATCTACGTCCCAATCCTCACCTATGGTCATGAGCTTTGGGTAATGACCGAAAGAACGAGATCGCGGATACAAGCGGCCGAAATGAGTTTCCTCCGTAGGGTGGCCGGGCTCAGCCTTAGAGATAGGGTGAGGAGCTCGGACATTCGGGAGGGACTCGGAGTAGAACCGCTGCTCCTCCGGATCGAAAGGAGTCAGTTGAGGTGGTTTGGGCATCTGGTCAGGATGCCTCCTGGACGCCTCCCTGGGGAGGTGTTTCGGGCATGTCCTGCCGGCAGGAGGCCCCCGGGTCGACCCAGGACACGTTGGAGAGGTTACATCTCCAATCTGGTCCGGGAACGCCTTGGGGTCCTGCCGGAGGAGCTGGTGGACAAGGCCGGGTAGAGGACGGTCTGGAGCTCCCTAGTTGGGATGCTGCCCCCGTGACCCGGATAAGCGGAGGAAGTCGACGACGAATTGTTGAAGTTTAATTTGCATTATTATGTACACACAACACACTCACTTACATTTCTGAGATGATTACAACCACTGTCACAATACCCCCCCCCCCCCCCCCCCCCCCCCCCCCCCCCGGCCACCCCCCCCACACACACTATCTGAAACAGATAAACGGAAACAAGATGGGAAAAATATCGGTTGTTAATATCGACCCAGTTTTATTTATCGGACCGATATCGAGGCCGATATATTGTGCGTCCCAAGCTTGGACTGATATTTCTTCTTCTTCTCTAAGTGCTGCCATAACGAGTTAATTTCCTCACTGTGGGGTTAATAAAGTCTATTCTGAAGAGAATTGCATTTCTTATTTAGTAAAAGAGCGAGACAGTCATCTTCCTCATAAGTGTTTCTTTAATGTTCCAGGATCTTTCAGTTTCACAGTAAAATTCCATATTTTAGTGTTTATTAAGTTGAATGATGATTTCTTGAGTGATCCATCGACTGAACTTCATGATGATCTCAAGAGTTCTGACAACACAAGCCGTCTGAAGTCACGTCTGGTCTTGAGAATGAACTGAAAGTCGCTGTATTTTTTCACTCAGGGCTGTACATGTAGCTGACTTCACCACGGACCGCTACCAGATCCTCACGGCGTCGGACGACTACACGTGCCGACTTTGGGATATCCCAAACGCTGTTGAGCTCACCGCCTATCAGGAACACACAGATTATGTGCGCTGTGGTGTTACGAGTAAACTAAACGGGGACCTCTTCATAACAGGTGAGGCGGAAGCTTCTTCATTACGTTGTTGTGGGGAAATGACAACGGGGTGACAGGAAGTTGACCTTTCAGTTCATTAGCATCATATCCGGTGCTTCCTAGGTCATTTCTGCCTGGAATAGTTCAGATAATGTTGTGAAAGACCAAAGGCTTCCTGTAGAGGTTTGATAAATCTAATCTGAGTTCATCTTTTAATTTCAGGGTCATATGACCACACGCTGAGAGTGTTTGATTCCAGAACGGAGAAGAGCGTGATGACCATGGATCACGGACAACCAGTGGAAAGCCTTCTCCTCTATCCCTCAGAGGGACTCCTCGTCTCTGCAGGTTCGTGGTTGGATAAGAAACACATGTCCGCTCCAAACACAAATGTTGGTTTAAATTTAGTGATTTGATTGGGACGGTAGGACTAAATGAATTGTTTTCTGGTATTAAAGGTGTGGAACACTGAAAAAACTATCGATAATGTAATGGTTTAATTTACATGTTATTTAATGAGCCATAAGACATGAGATTCCAGAGTAAATCTGAAATCAGACTTATGGATCTGTGGGAACTGTTAACCAGTAGGGCTGTAGCGAAGCCTCGACGAAGTCGACGGCTCGATTCTAAAAATTTGTCGACGTCAGATCCGGTAGTCGACGCACCGCGCCCACTTGTTGCATCCCCAGGAGTTTGTAAATAGAGGAGGAATCTGCCTGTTTTTCCTCTAGTTCGCCTTCTTCTCCGCCTTCACCAACATCTCCACCAAATACCGAAGACCCGGAACAACGTCCGTCCACTACTAGATTATTTTCCTGTTTTGCCCCTTCGTCTCCCGGCAACGGACAACAACTTCCGGGGTCAGATGCGCTGCTTCGTGTCTATCGCAGATGTAGAAAATCACCGGGAGCGTTTCTCCCTTCATTAAGGAGCTTCTTTCAGACATTAGGAGAGCTGTTTTGGTGGTAGCAGTCTCTCCTCCGTGCTGGTCTGTTTGCTGCTGGGTGTTTTTGGTTTATTTAAACTTGGTAACTTGAACTTAACGTTGGTAAAGCTACTGTTAGCATCTTCGCTAACAGCTTCTTGCGTTGGGATAAGCTGTTACGTTTTGGTTTAGAGTTCATCTTTTTTGTGGTGTAGATCTCCCTTTTACTACATTTAGAGTGTTGTGGGTTTTCGGTTTAGTGTAAAATATCACCTGAGTTTGGTTTAACCCGTAAGACCACTCGCCTCACGCACATTAGTGACCAAAACAAAGCAGCATGGAGACACTCCATCTTCTACCACCTCTCAGGCAGCAGCCTGCACTCCCAAGTTCTACACGTCACCAGAACATAACCAACCAACACAATAAAAGCAGTGTTATACAAAATGGAAGGCCTGTAGTGTTTATTCTCTTACAGTAAGAATTTATCAATTTATTTGAGATTTTCTGGCTTTTGTTAATTGTGCAATAGAAAAATAATCATTAGATTAATTTTCTAAATAGTCATTAGAATAGTCGACTATTCGATAAAATAATCGTCAGAATAATCGTTTTAAAAATAATCGTTTACCCCCAGCCCTATTAACCAGAAGATTGGAACTTTTTATTGCAGGGATTAGATAACAACCTCGTATTCACTCAGAGACAACAGAAGAGAGAGTCAAGTTTAAAAGTTTAAAGATTTATTACTAAACAAATTAAACTAGACTAACTTTAACACTAAATGTATGGTGTAACTAAGGTGGACGAGACGGAGAACGGTGTAGTGTGGAATGTTGCTCAGAACCAGCAAATCCGAAGAAACGATTAGTTCTGATGGGAACTGAAGGTGATGTCTTCGTGCTAAGCTTTGGTTAGGAGATTCCTAAACACATTCAACGCAATTCTATCGGCCTACGTACCCTTAGTGGAAGTCCCCGTTAGATCAGGAGGTGTAGATGTCCAGCTTGACCTTTATGGAGCCGAAGCCTGTAGAAGCAGCCACGGCAGCCGACCACCAGTCTTGAGATACTTCCGGGTCACGATGGTTTTGTTGGCATCTAGTGAGACCCAAACCTGGGTCGTGATGGTTCAGCTTTTATTCTGAAAGGAACCGTTGCAGCAGGTGGAACAGCAACAGATTTTATCCAGCTTGTCGTCGGTTCTTTCGGCTGAAGAGGAAAGTTACGGATTGGCCACTCCGACAACTTCTCTAGAACACTTTGAACTGGCGTTAAAGATGACGTGGGCGTAGTTTTATACTTCGGATGTTTTGGTTTATGGTCGAATGAAAAGATGACAGATTTACCAAACACCACCAAAACCACGCCTCCGTCAGATCTGGCAGATTCTGATTGGATCAGTAAAGCAATGTGTCATGTCTTAACGCTACGTGAGATCAGTCCTAGTGGAAACATTTAAAGTCATATTACTTATTATATTCTATAGGATTATAATCAAGTAATTAATATTTTGATTTCACAGATTGGTCACATCTTATTATTGACTAACACTTTGTTT